TTCAAGCCTTTTTTTTTTTTTAATCATGATTTTCAGAGAGTCCATTGATTCTTAGATTATCTTTCCTTGACCTGTTTTCCAGGTCAGTTTTTTGTTTGTTTGTTCCTAGTTGTGTATTGTTTATCGGATATCTTACATTTTCTTGCTTTTTTTTTTTTAATCTTAATTTTACTCTAATATTTCTTGGAATCATTGATTTCAGTTTTGTCTGTTCTAATTTTCAGCGAGTCTGTTACTTGTGTAAGGTTTATCACTTTCTCTTTCAAGCTATTCATTCTCCTTCCTGTTCTTTACTCCAGACCCCAATTTCATTTTTATATCTTATTTCACATCTTCTAGATATTCATGTCTTTAAGGAAAAGTGACTTATTTAAGTCACTTTTTGAAGTTTTATGGAGCTACTCTCTCCTTTGGAGGGAACTCTAGATGTACAGTAATTTTTTTATGTCCATGTTTTCTTAGGTTTACTTGTCTCTTTAGCTTTAACTCCTGAGATGGTGCTTTGTGCTAGGACTGTGCTTTGGCACAGTACTGATACACTTTTGGGTGGGGTGGTTGGTTCTGCCCACCCCCCCCTCCCCCCCCCCTGGCTTCCTCTGCCAACTTCTATCTCCTGGTGTTAGGCCTTTCTGGATCCTTGAAGTTCAGAGCACTGAGTCTTCAGAATCCTTTGTGTCATCCTTGTGCAGAGTGTTTGGGACTTCAGAGCCCTGACGCTTGGTCTGTCCCTATCCAAGCACTCTGAGGACTGCCTTGCTGCTCTCATTGCTACATTCCCCAGGGCTTCCAAGGTCCCCACCTTAGATGAGAGTTCCCCCTTAGGAGAACCCTTTACTTTTGCTGTCCCTGGATGCAGAGCCTTGCAGGCTTCATATGTCTCTGAATTGTTTCTCGTCACACTGGGAGATGGCTAACTTGTTTGTCTCTTCTGTTCCATCTTTATCTTTTTCTATCGCCTGGAAGCTTCTGGCTGACCTTTTGTTTAGCTCTGGGGAGAGAGGGGCGTTTTTGCTGAATAGGTGTTTGGGATCTGGGGGAGTCTTGCATCTTAGATGTTCAGTGTATGTTTTTAATAAGAAGAACCTTGGCATAGGGTATAAAGAGAGTTCGAGTCTTGTGACGCATACTATGTGCACAGACTTGGGCAATTCACTCAGCTTCTCAATGCTTCATTTGCTGATCTGCATTGATAAAGGGAGCTTCCTCACTGAGAATTCAATAGTACCCTGTTTCTAATTAATGAAAGCACAGTTAATATCCAAAATAAAATTAAAATGACTCCCTTCACCTTTTTTTTTAACTATTCAGTGATTTGAATGCATATTCTTGAGAAGGAGGAGGATGACAAAAAAAATGTTGAAAAACATGGATCAGGTTTAAGAAGTAAGACCTGCTAGGCTTGTAAAGTATACTGAAGCTTTCTATCTATATAAAATTCTATTAGAAAAAAAATAGTAACTAACACGGAAATCATTTTCAAATTATCTGTCTGTATAGTCATTTGTCAGAGCAGAGATCAGAATCAATACCAAAGTAGAATTAAAAAAATTAAAAGAAGAGACTGGTGGAGGTAGCTCCAGGCTGACCTTAATGGAGCTGCTGACATGGAAGAGTGAGAACTGAAATCAGTATGGACTATTAGAAATTTCTCAGAAAGTTTACTAACATAAATCAGTTACCAGAAAGAAACTTAGGAGTCCAGAAACTGCCGCAGCCGACAAGCGAGGGAGACCAGGCAGCCCACAGTAAACCCAGTTTTCCAGACTCATGTGTAAAATCTTACAGAAGAGGATAATAGACAATTTTGAGCTGTTAGCAAACTTTAAGAAGCAGTGGAAGGGAAGAAAAGTTTACAAAAAGTTTGCTCTCTGACCTGATAAAGCCAGGTCACCCTTATAGCATCTTATTCCACAGCAGGATGAAATTAGAACAACAGACAAAAACAGAAAGGATCTGTCAAGATTTCTGTGACAAAACAATTGCCACATATAGACTTGATGTCACAGGTCCCAGTATGCTGTGAGGAAGCAGAAATTTCGCTTAAAGCAAAGCAGCTGGCCAGAGGTCTGTGCTGGAAGTGATGCCATTCTGACGACAGTGTTAAAGAATTAGCTTTCAAAATACCTGAAAGCAAGGATACCAAATGCTTAGAGTAAATTAGACCTTATTATCCAAAAAAGGTGACCAATAAAATATCAGTAATGGCCAACTTGTATGCTTACTTTTCCATCTCTACCGATGCTTCTGAGAATAATCTTTATGTGAATTGAGAATATCCTTGTTGAAAGTTTTAGAAGGAAAAACGCAGACTTTCACAAATGATATTCTTCCACAGATTGTATCATACAGTTGACTGACAGGTACAGAGAAAACAAGATCCCACTATACTTCTTGTTTGACTATAAGAAATCATTTTACTTGGTAGAGCAAAATACCTCCTTCAGGGCCATCCTCCAATAAGGTATTTCCTATGCATGTGTTGAAAATACCTTGAAAAATGTAACAGTAGGGGCAGCTAGGGGGTGCAGTGGATAGAGCACTGGCCCTGGAGTCATGAGGACCTGAGTTCAAATGCTACTTCAGACACTTGACACTTAAAGCTGTGAGACCCTGGGGAAGTCACTTAACCCCATTGCCTAGCAAAAAAAAAGAAAAGAAAAAGTATGTAACAGTAGAAAACTTTGAGTCTGTGACTCAGACTACCAGAAATCAAGGCATAAAAACAAGGAGAAACAGCCGTTGTCAGTGGAGGACATCCAGAACAGAGAGATTCCCAGTAGATGGTGATGCTTGTGGTTGTGGATATCATTTTATTTATTGTTTAAGCACCCTAGTACTGCAGAACATCCTAAATGAGACTCATATTATTCAAGAGTTTGGCGTAATTTTCCACAGAGAAAAAATCAAGTGGATGAAAAATACGTACTGCCCAGACTGATCTGCAGTTGAATGGACCACCCATGCTTCATCTGTACTTTTATCTTGGACACATAGACAAAGGCCAGAACCCAGAATTTAAATAGAAGAAAGAGAGCAGACCAGGTTATATTGGGGAAATTGTGCGCCCCAGGCTTCTCCCTGAACCAAAGGCCCAACTTCTTTGTCTTTCTTTTTTTTTTTAAGTATGTTCTATTTTGTTGCCTTTTCTTTACTTCACAGTCATTGATGGGAGAAAAAGGGGACCTCCCCTGCCTCCAGGTTTAATCCTACCTTGTGACTAAAAAATTAAACAGAAATATCTGTTGGCTACTTCTAACAGTGTTTATATTTTGTCTTAGTCCTCTTCTCTCTGCTAGGAGGCAAGATTTGTTTCACTCTCTTGTCTGGGAACTGCTTTACTGAGTTCAGCTTACACTTAGTGAACGAAATTTCATTTACATTGTTGGTGTCATTGTGTATTTCAGTTTCTTGGTTCTCCTTTTTTCATTCTGCATCAGTTCATTCAAATCTTTCTATGGTTGTCTAAAGTTATCATCTCTTTTTTTTAAAATTTATTTTGATTTATCAACAATCACTTCCATAAGCTTTTGAGTCTTAAATTTTTCTCCCCCTCCCTCCTTACCTCCCTCCCCAAGATGGTGCGCAATCTGATATAGGCTATACATATACATTCCTGTTAAACATATTTTCACATTAGTCATGTTATATGGAAGAGTTAGAACCAATAGGAAGAACCACAAGAAAGAGAAAACAAAACAAAACAAAACAGAAGAAAAAAAAGAGAAAATAGGATGCTTCATTCTGTGTTCAAACTCCATAGTTCTTTCTTTGGACGTGGATAGCATTTTCCATTGTGAGACTTTTGAAGATGTCTTATATCCTTGCATTGCTAAGAAGGATTAAGTCTGTCAACATTAGTCATCACACAAAGTGGCTGTTACTGTGTACAACATTCTCCTGGTTCTGCTCACTTCACTCAGGATCTGTCCATGCAAGTCTTTCCAGGTTTTTCTAAAGTTTGCCTGCTCATCATTTCTTATAGCACAATAGTATTCCATTACATTCATATACCACAATTTGTTCAGCCATTTCCCAGTTGATGGGCATCCTCTCGATTTCCAATTCTTTGCCACCACAGAAAGAGCTACTATAAATATTTTTTTTTTCAATTTTTTTAAACTCTTTATTCTATTTATTTATTTAGTGAGGCAATTGGGGTTAAGTGACTTGCCCAGGGTCACTTGCCTAAGTGTCAAAGTGTCTGGTCTGAGACCGGATCTGCACTCAGGTCCTCCTGACTCCAGGTCCAGTGCTCTATCCACTGAGCCACCTAGCTGCCCCTAAAGTCATCGTTTCTTAATACACAATAATACTTCATTACATGCACACACCGTAATTTCTTCAGTCATTTCCTAGTCAATAGGCACCCCCTTTTCCAGTTTGTAGCTGTCACGAAGAGACCCATCTTTTAAATGTCAGTAGCATTCAAGTGGTGTTATAGCCACAAATCATGGAATTTCAGGCTCCAAAGAGTTAAAGTTGAAGGTCCCTCAGAGGCTATTGGAGAGGTTCCTGGTGGGCATGAGGAGGCTTCAGTATATTATAGTCTTGTGCTAGAAAGCAGTGTCACAGATATATGATCAGAGGACGAGGTGAACTGAACTGTTACGCAGCATAAGCAGCATACAACTGGTACATTCAAAGGGTCCCATGGAGAGTTGAAGGAAGAACTAGAGTTACAAAGAAGGATAAGGAAGGTCTGGATTGTGATCGTACTCTTGGAGGGAGTGGCCACATTCATGAGATTGTAAATCCATTATTACCTTGGCCCCTACTTACTGCTAGTCCTCACTACCATAGGTGATTTGTTGAAGGAGCAAAAACCCTAAAAGGCGCTGCGCTGAAGTTACCCTGAGTAGGACTGTTGCCCATCCCCTCTCCCCAGCTCTGCCCAGCCTCACCTGTTCTTCTCTCTCCCTATGCCCAAAACCACTAAGGGGAGGACACAGCAGACCGTAATCCCTGACAGAAGTCTCAGTGCTTTCCTTGGTCTTCCATAGGTTGTGGCCCAGGAGTATTAGCGGATGCCAAGATGCGAGTATTTGAACGCTCAGTGTACTTTGGAGATTCGTGCCAAGATGTTCTCAGTACACTAGGCTCTCCACACAAGGTTTTTTACAAGTCAGAGGACAAGGTAGGAAAAAATAGTGAAGTGAAGCAGATTTTAGTCATTTGGTGTAGGTTTTAAATTTGTTGCATTAGTAACTAGTGGGAACTTCATAGGTGTGATTCCATGTCATTGGCACAAATTAAAAGTCTTCCTGAGAGTCTCGGGTTCTGTGTTGTGTGCACTGCCCTCTTTTCTTCTGTTGCACTTCCCGAATTTGAGGAGCCCTTCTCTCGCGTGCTGCTCAGCCCTCCCTCCTTCCAAGGCACCTTGTCAGTGGTAGCAGACTCGCCCTCTTTTCTCAAGTCAGGCTGCCTTCGGTCACTCAGATTCCATCATTCAACATTGCAGCAGTAGGATTTAGATCCCAGGCGAGACAGGCTTTTAGGATTTTTTTTTATAAATTCAGTTTCAAAGATTTTACTTTATTCCATGAACTTAAGTAACTCTCTGAACTTTTTGTTTTGTCTTGTTTTGTAACAGATGAAAATTCATTCTCCTTCTCCTCATAAGCAAGTTCCGTCAAAGTGTAATGACTACTTCTTCAACTATTTCACACTTGGGGTGGTAAGTCATGATTCTTCAGACTATTTTGTGTGGCCGAATTTCGCACCAATGCATGTCACAGCGCCCCCACGTCTTGGTACATCATCCCCTGGCGGTGGGCTGCCTGGCAGCACTTCACCAGGCCTAACCCATGAACGTGCATTTTGTCCCGGGCTTACCCTGGAAGGCTTTTCACTGTGGTGGGACCTGCAGGGTTTGTGCTTGGTTGGCAGAGCCCCCGAGGCGCCACCTTGAAGTGAAGCATTGGAGGAGGGGAGGACATGGCCCCGGAGCAGCTTTAGGTCACTCAGTAAAACCATCACAAATGTCAGACCTTGCCCGTGGAGTTTGCTTTGTAGGTAGTCAGATGGCCAGCAGTGTCCTTCTCTTCCATGTGAGGGTAGTGTGGCCCAGAGAAGCCTCGGTTCCCTAGCCTCTCTCTTTTCTGTGGGTCTAACTGAAGCACCCCCAGACCTGAGGCTAGGGGAGAAGTAGCAGGGTAACAGCTAACAGGTCTTGACCTTCTCACAAGCGTCAGACTTTCAATGACATTGCAGTGCCCACCATGCTCGGAAACATGTTCTCAGCACTGTTGAGATAGGCCGTGATTCCAAGCTCTCAGTCTAGATCTCACTTGGACTTCTCTTATTCCACCACAGAAAAGTGAGAGCATGAACCACATGCAGTAGTAGTGAGAATGGAGACAAGAACAATTGGTGGCATTTGTGTAGCTCTTGAAGGCTTGGAAGGTACATTATTATCTCATTTGATCCTCACCAGCAACCCTGGGAGTTAGGTGTCCCCGTTATACGTATGGAGAAATTGATGCAGAAAGGTTGTGACTTGCCAGGGCTACGCAACTAGTAAAATGTCTAATGCCAGGTTTGAATTCAAGTCTTCCTGACTATCACTGCAACCTAGTAATTCACCCAAATCCAGCTATGTTTATGACCTAACTACGTTTCTTATTCACAAGCTAACTTCCCTTCTTGTTTCAAGCCTCTGTTTTTTCTGTAGGATATTCTCTTTGATGCGAATACACACAAAGTGAAGAAATTTGTCCTGCACACCAATTACCCTGGGCATTATAACTTCAACATGTGAGTATGACAGTACCCTCTTAGGACAGTTTTTTTGGAATGACACACTAACCTTGTCTATGCCAGAAAGCAGGCCATCTGGGTTTTACTTTTTGACTTTGAGAAATCCATGTGAAACCCTGATTCCTGGGCAAGGGTAGAGTCCCCAGTAACCAGTGAACCAGGCACAAGAGCCAGGACCTGGACAGCAGCTGATCGGAAGCTCTGTGAGCACGCTTTCTCCAGGCTTTACTATGACCAGCTTGGGGTGGGGTAGGGGCAGTGGAAGGGACATTTTTTCCAAAACCCATCGATACCAGTGGTCCTGGCAGCCTGACTTTGGAGGAAGAATTACTGACCAGCTCTAGATTGACCCTAAAGCCAAGACACTTTTCCCCTCACGTGCGCCAGTTTTCTTGATTAAAGTCTTGGCCACTAAACTTCACTCCCTTTCTGGCTCCCCAAAGTCTACTACCAGCATCATAGAGATAAGAGTGGAGGAAATGCGTTTTTCTCCACCACCCCACTCCAGGCGTCTGAGGTAATGAATGTTTCAGTGTGAATGCTTTAGGCTCCTATGTCCTAGCTGCTGCCTTGTATTTAGAACATAGAAAGCAGTGTCAGTTTTATTCTGCTTTATTTCTTGACTGCTGGTGTATATTTAAATGATCTGGGGACGCTAAAAACTAAATTCACTTTTTCCTCCAAATTTTCTTCATTTTTTTTCATGGCTCAGATTTAATACCTGAATTTGTAGCCATTTAATAAGATGCATAAGTGTTTTCAATGTTTTCCCTCAGTGTGGGCCCTTCCCAGACTGATCGGCCTGACTAAGGTAGCCTCGGTAATGTGCTGAGTTGCTCAGGTCTCCTGGTTTGTCGTCTAGTGCTTGTTCTACTACACGACTCCGCTGGTGTAGGTGATGTATCCACCTCCTGGGCCTTACCTGCTTTCCCTTCCACTTGAAGTAAAAAATCTCATAGCAGTTGCTGTAGTAACTGGGCTCCTGGCATGAGCAGACATAGCCCTGTTTTACTGTAAGGGTTTCCAGGTGTCTACTTGACCTTCTTAACAGCATCATTGGTCTTTGAGGAGTAGGTTGACATAGTGTTTCTTGATGGACACATGCTGGACCCTGGGTAAAGCACCAGTGAAGCTTCATGATAGTGTGCTGCTGCTGGAAAGCAGAACCAGGAGGACAGCAGCAACGTTTTTAAAAGGAATAATTTTGAAAGAACTAAGAGCTCTAATTGACATAAGCAGCCACGAGTCTAGAGGGCTGGCGAAGGATGCTGCCGTGTCCTGACTGATACGCTGAAGGAGGCACGTATTTATGGACGCCTTGGCTTGACTGTGCTTGTTTTTAACAGGAGTTTTGTTTTTCTTCCTTTCTTGCCAGCTTAAAAGTTGAGGGGAAATGGGAGGAAGGAAAAAAAATGCTCGATAATTGAAAAAATAAATAAAATTTAATTTCAAAAAGCATTGTGCTGGTGGTAAGAAGGCCAGGGCTCAGACACTCTGAGCTGTCCCCTTACTCTGTGTGCCTTCTCTCTCCAGCTATCACCGCTGTGAGTTCAAGATTCCCCTCACCATCAAGAGAGGTAAGCAGCATCTCTAATTGTCAGCAGCAAACAGGAACCCCTCTCACCTTCTCTTGGTGAGGCCCAGGGGACTTATGGGAGGGAAGGACCATGACGGAATAGCCCTTTCAGCGCCATTCCTGGGACAGATTGCCGTGGCCTTGACAACTTTCCCTGGTGCCCCACAACAGCAGAGATACATGTTATAGAATGAATTAAGGAAAGGGGTGCAAGGCTTATCTCCATTTGTCAGATGAGAAAACTGAGGCTTAGTGAGGAGGGGTGACTTGCCCTAACTTAACTTTACTAGTAAGTAGAGCCAGGACTTGAACCTCGATCTTCAGAGTTCAAAGCAAGGCCTTACCACTACTCTTCAGATGCCATGTGAACACAGGGGAAGCTGGTAAGGCAGGCCAGAGGCTTTTGTAGCCTCCTGTGCCAGGGTTCAGGGAAAGCCAGATCTACCATGGTAGCTGCTCAGGAGAAGGGTTGGGCTTTTTTACTGTGACCCCCATCACTCTGTGGCTTCCACCCTACCTTTGGCACAATAGTCACCATTCTTCTTGAGCTTAATTAACTGGACTTCTCTTCCCAACCTCATTCCTTACCACGTACATATATCCGCTCAGCCCTGCCCATTCTAGATAGCCCTCTGTCCTTTTACTTCCAAGTGGTCCCCTGTGATGAGGAAGTGAGCTATGTTCTGTTTCCACTGAGGCTTTGAGCCTTTGGAAGAGGAAAAAGCCTATGTAGGGACCAGACCCTTGCCTCTCCACTGAAGAGCCTTATCTCCCACCCCCTGTTCCCTCCCCTGCTTTGGCATGGGCCAGGAGAAACGGGGCCTCCGGTCCAAGAGTCTCCTGGCAGCCGCTTGTAAAGGATCGTCACAGCAGGGCAGGGCTGGGGAAGGACTAAGCATGGACTTGTTAAGGGAAAAGATGCTTTTTTTTCTACTTATAAACAATTACTAGCTCTCTAAATAATTTTGTTTGCCAAAGTATTCCTTAGCTGTGTCCTGGACTCTTAGATGCCACAGACTTTATAGCTGGAGTAAACCTTAAGAGATCACCTAGGAGAAGATGGATTTGGCCAGTGTCCCCCAGCTAAGAAGGGGTGAGGCTGTCTCCAGGTCCGCTCCACCAGGCTGCTGGAAACTAACTTGACAAACAGTTCCTTACTTGAGCTGCGTCCCCATGGCCTGTTTGTGTTCTTTTCTCAGAAAGTGCTGATTGCCAGACTGAGACCTGCACAACCTATAGCAAGGTAAGCTCTCTTGTCCAGGCAGCACCAGGGGCTCAGGCTGTCGAGGGCTCTGGAGCCAGGCAGCCCAGACTGTCTGAGCAGAGTGACCTTGTGCCACTGGGCCCACCGTCATTATGGAAAGGTGACTGATCCCACTGGGTAAAGCAGAGCAGGAGTTTGGTTGTTGACCGCACATACCTCTCCTTCCATCCTGATTTCGGCAATTTGTGCTAAAAATTTGCACAGCCAGAATATTGGGCCTCGAGTCTTTGCCTCTGCCCTGAGGTGTATTGGGCAGAGTCCCAGAGAACTGGCAAGTCCCCAGCAGGGGTACCCTAATGTAGTCAGCCTGTGGAAGTTCAGACTGGAAAGGACCAGAAAGAACCATACGGTCTCAAGATTCATAGACTCTCAGTGCTCTGGGTGACTTCAGCAAGCATGCAGTCAAACTTCCTCAGTTTATAGAAGAAGAAACTGAAACCAAAACAGATGGCTTCATTATTCCCACCATGCCACCATGCTTCTGGACACTCTCAGTGTCTCCTGACGTCTGCTTTGAGGATGAACACAGCACATGGGCCATTGACTGTACCTGTAAGGAAGGTGTCGGGGCCCCCAGGGTTATGGCAGCCCCCTATCTGGGCAGGACCAGGAAGAGCCCTTAGGGAGGGCTGCCCTGACCTCTGCCCTTTCGTGTTTCTGTGTTGCAGTGGGACAGTATCCAGGATCTCCTTGGGCATCCTGTAGAGAAGCCTGTTGTGCTTCACAGGTAAGGTGCCCCTTCTCCCCCTGCCCCCACCAGGCACGCCTGGAGGCAGTTAAATCCCATCTGTTTCTCTCTCCTCACACAAGGGCTCAGGGCCAGTAGTTCAAGCCAAGAAAAATAAAACCAGCCCTAGTCTTTGAAGTTAATGCCTTGCCCCTTACCCCAGCCCAAAAATGTTACCTGGTTTCAGATAGCTCATGTCCTTAATGTATTTAAAACGGGATGAAGGTGCATCACCTTTCTTTTGGAGCTCCTTCCAGGAGACAGATTACCCTCCACACCCTGAAATCAGGCTTGTGCTTCCTAGCATTTTAGGATTTAGAGGTGGAGGGGGATATTAGGGATCACCTAGATCAAGCCGCTCTTTTGATTGAGAGCTGGAGGCCATCTGGTCCAAACTTGGGATTGTCTAGATAAGGAACTGAGGCCCAGTGAGGTTACATATCTAGCCTGGGGTCCTGCAAGTAGTAACCAGCATAGTAGGTCAGCTGATGCTGAATCCAGGGCTATTTCTACTGCACCATGCTGCCTCACCATTCTCATGATTTGCTGGTGATAGCAAATCAAGGCTGTGAGCCCAGGTTCCACATTTGGGCAGGATCTATTCTTTGCCATGGCCCAGCAAGGCATCTTCTATTGGAAATGCATGTAACTTGTACTTGATTGGTATCGACTTAGTGAATCAGCTATTAAATCCACCCAAGAGTATCATCAACTAAAAGACTCATACACGCTTCACTCCCCACCCCAACTTCCTTTAATTTAAAGGCTATACCTTGTATATTAATCTCAACCTGACTTTGATTTACCTGGGAGGAAATGGAAGGGGCGGCAGACAGTATGACTTGCCCCCCATAGGAATGGCTATAACATAGGGATTATGCATCCTTCCCTTCCACCCTACCATTCATACTACATACATCCATAACGTACACACATGCATACATACATACATACGTACAGCAGAGCACTGGCCCTTTTCTCAAGCTTTCTTGTGGTACCTCAGGATATCCCATGTCTTCCAGTGTCCATCCCATCTGTGTCTTCCCTAAGGTCCGTTTCCTGCCCCCCCCGTTATCCCCAGATAAAGGTATTTTGGATGTTTGGATCCCTTCGGCTGGCTCTCTGATGCCTCAACACTGTCCCTTTTGTCTCTTCCCTCTGAAGGTCATCTTCACCAAATAACACAAACCCATTTGGATCAACCTTTTGTTTTGGACTACAGAGAATGATATTTGAGGTGAGCGAAACTGGCTTCCCTCAGTCTAATTGAAAATGGAGCTGAGAGGTTGGCTTGAATGTTGAGGCTAGAGGGAGCTTTGTGTTGATAGGAGATTCACAGTATTTAAGCATATGATTTTATTTGAATAAAATGTCGGTCCTTACTCAGCTCCTGTTAATTCATTAAGTTCTGTAAGTTCCTTGTAATTTCCAGGTCATAATCTATCTTACAGAGTGGATCTGATAAATGTTGAAGCCCTGAGAGTATTTGCAAGGATTTGTGCTCAGCACTGAAAGATAAGAGAGATGGATTGGCCTCTTATCACTTACTCTGTTAGGTGGGTTTGCTTAATAAATAATTGTTGGTTTTACCCACCTGTTAATGAAGTTGATCAATTCAAAATGCAGAATGAGACATGGCAGTTTTGCTTGACTATCCATATTTATTACAAGGATTTTTTCTTTCTTTTTTCTTTTTAATGGAGGGAGAGGGAAAATTGCATGTTAACTGGGGGGTTGGAAACGACATAAAAGTTATATTAAAAATACTTGTTGAATAAGACAAGTTCCCTTCTTCGGAGGCCTATACTACAAAGCCTAAAAACCTGTGATCCCGAACCCACTTGCCCTTCTGTGTATGGGATTTAAAAACAATCTAGTCCAAAGGTTCTTAACCTGGGGTCCACAGACCCACAGATTTAGGGGCTGGGAGGGAGCTTATCAGCTTGGAATTATTAGCATTTTAGTAGCTGAATTTTAATATTCTTTTGTAATCCTATGCATTTTATGTATTTGAAAACCCTTCTGAGGTGTTTGTAGCCTTCACCCGCTTACCAAAGGGGTCCATGACGCAAGGTTAAAAAAGCCTGGTGTCCTCCAACCTCCTCAATGTACAGATAAGTAGCGGGGTGGATTGAGCAGATTTACTGCACAGAAAGGCAAGTGTATTCAGGATCATGGGCTCTTAGACTTTTTTAAGCCAGAAGAAACCTTAGACTATAGAGTAGAGAGTTGAAAGGTCCCTTAGATCTTAGAACAGAAAGTCAGAGCCAGAGGAGACTGTAGGACTTAGTGGAGCCCTACCTGTGGCAAGCCCAGGTGGCTGCATCCTGTCGTCCCTGTGGGTGGAGCTCTGACCCTTGCCTCTCCCCGCCCAGGTCATGCAGAACAACCACATCGCATCAGTGACCCTGTATGGCCCGCCCAAGCCCAGCACACAAGTGAGGATGGCAGAGCTCCCGTGAAGGACGGCCCTCCTCCTGAGCTCTCCCCAGGCCTGACCATACAGCGTGCCTTGACTTGCTGCCACTTGTAGTGGAGGGAGCACTGAGCGGGTTTTTCTTTCTTTTTACCCTCCTGGTGGCAGTGCAGAGCGGGTAGCCCTCGACTCTTGCCGAGATGTGGAAGCCTTGGTGAAGGAACTGAACTTACTGGTCGGAGGGCTTTTCCTCCCGGCCTGGTCGGCCCAGCCCCCAGGGGGCAGGAAGGGAGGGGGCGGGCAGGGTGGCACAACTGCTGAGGGCACAAAGTGACTGCAAAGATGTAGAAGCACAAACTCTGAACTCTGAAGCATCCGGACACAGGTATCCATTAGTCTGTGTGTTTGTGTTGCCGTGTTGATGTAGTAGTCACATTTAAGAAAGCAAAGCTATATCTACTTATACATAAAAACCTATATCTACATAGAGAGAACATACACAGTCGTCCTGGGGCCCCATGGGACAAGTGTGCATATGTGTCCCGACTCCTGGCACTGTGTGAGTCTCTGTGTAACTTTCAAACTACAAGCAAGTCGCATGTGCGTATTACTTGATTGTGACATTTGCACTACATCCACTTTAATGACTTGATAACTAACTGCATTAACCCTGAAGAGGTTCTTCTGTGGCCTGGACTGGCTGGCGGCCAGGTTAGAATTCCACTTAGATTCGCTTCAAAGCTTAGATAGAAACACATCCTGAAGAGCAAGTGATCCCATTCTGTTTCCACTTCTCCCTTCCCCATGGAAGCCATCGTTGCCGGAACGGTGCATCTTTTCCGTTGTTCCCCTTTTCTCTTTTGGTCTAAGCCCACCCTGCCCCTGGGCAGAGTCTCCTCAATGGTACTGGGACAACCTGGGGCCCCAGAGCTCGAGCCCCTACCGCTAAGAAGGGGATAGGGGAGGAATGAGGAGCTGCCCCCTCCTGGGCATGTTTTCATCCTTCCATTCCTTCTGCATCTTTTATTTAATGCCAAAGTTTTCGCCAAAGACATCCTCTTCCTCTGTTACATTTCAGCATTCTGTACAATTTGTTCCCCTAACCCTGTCTGAACAGGTTTCTTAACCCAAGGATACTGACATACTCTTCCAGCTGGGCCGGGGAGGCTGGGTCGGGGACTTGGAACCCCCGTACAGGTCTCTTTGGGGAAAAGTAGAGTCTCTGAAAATAACCCTTTTTAGGAGAGAAAAAACAAATTGACAAGAAATGTATAATTTTATCCCATTTTTAATATTTTGATGTAGCAACTTGTGATACATAGACAACAATTTTGTGAGGTTTTTCAAATGTGTGTACAGATTTTTGTAAATAAGACATTTTTGTAATTTTAACTCATGTACAGTATAATCCTAAATAGTTTACTGATGAATGAGAAAGTAGACTGGTACCTAATGTTTTTGGATCCAGGACCAGGAGCAAGGGGAACATTGCTCTGTGTGTGTATGGGCGTATGTGGGTGTGTGTGGCATCCCTGTTACTATGTCGTCTTCCCATGGGCTGTGACATTCTAGACTGTCTGGCTGAAGCCACAGTTGGGAATCCATCTGCCAAGGGCCAAGAAAAGAAAGGGCTGTTAGGAGCCACCTCTCTCGTAGGTGACCCCTTGCCTGCTTCCCCCTCCTGCCCTGCCATCCCTCCTTGCCTTCTAATCGTCTTTGTTCTGTGGCCCCTGTACATTCCCCAGAGGTGCATGTGTCCCGAAAGGCTAATAAAGTGGAGCTGTCCCTCAGGCACTGGCTGGTGCACAGCACAGTGACTGAGTGTGATTGCTTTTTGGTCACATCCTTTTGATGGTTTTCTGGGTATGGGATCACAGTGGTCCCCTGGGAGCCCTTGACTTGGGAGGGCAGATTCTTGCATCTGCTAGAAACTTGGCTCAGTTGGGATGGGCAAGTTGGGATTCCTGTACCCCTCCCTGTAGCCATAGGAATTGAAGCAGTGTCTTCAGGTGGGTCTGTGGACATCTCCACCTTCCCAAGAGGGGCACTCCCTCCTTGCTGTGAAAGGGGGCCAGAGTTGTGAGTCTTCTTTTTCAAGGGTCTTCTTGTGCTCCACCATCATATCACTTTATCACCAGGTTGGGTCTAGATGTGCTCTCCAAGTCCCCAGCAAACATGTCTACCTCATCTGTTCCCAGCTTCTCACGCCATAGACTCTGTTGGACCTCAGATCCCTCAAATCAGCTCAGCCATCTCCCACTTTTTTGGCCCCTGTGAAGGACTGTCCTAGGCCAGCTTCCTCCCCCCAAGCTCGACGGTACCTCAGTCACAATGACTGCCCACGGTCTTATCCTGGAGCCCAGATCACCAGTGGCTTTTCAAAGTGAGAACGCAGAAAATTGGTCCTGCTTCTCCCTCTTTGACTTGTTCCAAGGATTCACTCTTAGGTCTAGCTCCTCCGAGAAAAATACTGCGTCTGCCAGTAGATGAGGGTTCTGGCCATTTCCCCACAAGCCTGCAGATTCCTAAGGTTCTGATTAAATGACTACTTTTTGCAAGGCCCTGGGAGGGGCAGAGAGGATGGGGACTTAGAATTCAAAGACAGACCCTGCCCTAAAATCAAAGAGGGCTGGGGGGAGGTGGGAGCCCTCTGAATCAATGAATGTTGGTGCTGACCCTAGGAGGTGGAAGGGATCTCTGAAAACTTATGCTGGCTCATTTCACAGATAAGGGAAATGACAGGACCAAGGCATTGTGGTGCAATAGAAAGAAAGCTCAGTTTGGAGTCCAAAGCCCCGGGCTTTAATAGCTGTGCTGTCCTTGAGTCATTTGTGTCAAGTTAACTTCTCTGGACCAGTCTTTCCTCAACTTTAAACATCCCTAAACCTATGATGCTGTTTTTATACACGCCTGCATGCACACATGCACTCACTCGCACCATCTCATCCTGATCCTTGCAGAAAGTGTTGAAACTTCAGAAAGTTGTCCAGAATATGATGGCTCCCCCCTCCAGGAACAATCTGCTTGGAGGAATAAGGCCGATGTAATGGATGGGGAGAGGGCAGGTCGGTTCAGGTATTTTCAAGAAGCTTTCATTAAGCACTTACTGTGTGTCAGGCACCAGGTTCGCTGCCCTGGATACAAAGAAAAAACAGAAAGAGGCCTTCAAAGAGTTCTAATGGGAAGAGATGCACATAAAAAAGGCCTTCCTGAGATTAGGAGAGGGAATGGCACCAGCGCTGGAAGTGTGGGCACTACCTCCCCTTGGCCTGACCAAATTCTCCGTCCAAGTTAGTGCAAATTTGAGGCTTACGTGAAGTCAGAAACAATGACAGCAGATGCTGGGGAGGGAGAAACAAACAAGGACTAAACCCTGGTAACAAGAAGTTAGGACTGGAAGCTGAAGGGGACATTAAGGACCTCCCCATTCCCGCACCCCAAATGCACCTCAGAAAGCACCTTTCTGCATACACAGGCGTAAGCCTGAGGGGCAGGCTACCTCATCCAGGCTGGATTGTTGCTGGCCAGATCTAGATCAGGGGCCCAAAAATAAGGCTTACAAGAGAGGTAAGGTGTAGGCTGAAAAAGAGAGAAGGGGTATGGAAAGGCAGAGAGCTTGACTTCCTTTGGATAATATAAGCAGAGGGTGGGAGAGGATCCCTTCAAACTCGGAAAACAGCTGGGGTTCGTGGCTGTTTTCGACAAAAGCTGCCCTGGGTGCACTCTATGGCTGGCTCATGGCCTAGATTGGGCTGATGGGATCTGGGGCTAACTGCAGTCCAGAACTTGAAAAGTGGACCTGTGTGAAGAAGTCATTGTGCAATCCCGGGTGGGCCAAGTATGAAAATTACATCTCCCTGCTCAGAGATCCTTTCCAGAAAGCTCAGCCCAGGCCAACCAAGGGATGTAACTAGTGTGAGCAGAACTCTCCTAATTGGGGCCTGAAAGATGTTTAGGATTCTTTTAAACTCTTAAGCCTTAATTGGGTTAAATGCTCCTTGCTGGGAATGGAATGATGTTCCACATACCCCCTACTGCCTTCCCCTCCTTTGTATTTAATGGGTATGTTATTATTCAGACCTATACATGCACACGTTGTGAATGTGAGATATTTGAGGCAAGAGACCAGTTGGCTTTTGTCTTTATCGCCAGTGCTTCAGATATAGACACTTAAATATTCGATGGATTGATAGATGGTGAAAATTGGTATCAAAGAAAATGTTTTCCTTCTGCCCTGCTAGCATCTACGCACAAGATAATTAAAAGTAAGCTTGTTACCCACAAGCAACGGATTTAGAGTTAGAAGGGGCTTCCTTTTACAGGCAAGGAAATAAGGCACAGGAATGTTACTCGGAGCAGGGCGGGGAGGAACCCCGTTTCTTTTCCCACTTTGCCCCTTCTCAGGTCCCACGCTTGGCTCAGCAGCTAGGAGCCCCAGCGGAAGGGCTTTGGGGCCGTGCGTCTTCGAGCGCAGTCGGGCCCTGGCACCGCGTGCAGCATCTGCCACATGAGCCAGATGTCGGCTGCTGACAGCCCGTGCACCAGCACGAGCTCCCGGTAGAAACAGGGGTCGAAGGTACGCAGGTGGGGGGCGGCCGAGGGCCGTGCTATGCCAAAGGTGCGGAACGCCTGGTGCGCCTCGGGCACCAGGCGGAGACGCTGCAGGCACATGCCCAGAAAGACGTCGTCGATGGGGAAGAGCTCCACCTGGGCGCAGGCGGCGGCCAACCTCCGCAGCGTGGCTCCGGACAGCACGAAGCCCCCGCCTCCCGCGTACGCAGGGTAGGCGCCCAGCCCGTACACCCCCTTGGGGATATAGTATTTGCTGTCCCGAGCGCGGATGGGCCGCGCCTGCAGGATCACGTCCCCGGCCAAAAGGTCCTGGGACGGGTCCCGTGTCGCTATGAACTCCAGCAAGTTCTCCACGTGCACGAACACGTCATCGTCGCCCTTGAACACAAAGCGCGCATCGGGGCAAAAGGTGGACGCCCAGTCCAGGAAGTGGATTTCCTTTAGGGTCAGGTTGAAGAAAGTGTCATCGAAGGCCCAGAGCAGGATGTCCCCATAGGCGCGACCCTCAGCCCGCAGCAGGCCTTCCTGGGCCTGCGTCCCCGTCCCGGCCCCGGCCGGGCCCCGAGGGATGCCCAGCAGGAAGACCCTCCGCACCCGCGCCCCGCGCACGTGCCCCTCTGCACCCCAGGTCTTTCGCACGACCTCCCTCCGCTCGAAGTCCGCGGCCACAGATTTGACGGCGATGAGCAAGTCTGGCCCCGGGCCTCCTGGAAGCCCCCTACACTTATGTGGCTGATTGATGAGGAGCTGGAAGCGCCTCTTGTCCTTGTCCTGCAGGTAACGGCGAAAGTCGAAGGGCCCCGAGGGCGTCGGGGGCGCAGGCGTGTCCTCCTCATAGATTGGGTGCTCAGCCCTGGCAGCTGGAAAGGCGCGCACCACCTCAGGCCCCCAGCCAGGGCGCGTGGGTAGGGGCGGCGGGGCTGGGCCAGTGACCATCCTGGCCTGGGCGCTGGACAGGCTGACCGCGGGGGCCCCTTGCTCTCGCTGCGAGTAAAGGAGCAAACAGAGGGCGGTGGCCAGGAGCAGGGTGAGCGCAGCGTCCGCCTTCCGCCTCAGCCTCATGGTCTTGGCCCCCCAGAGCCTAGGTCAAGAGCCCGCGCCTCCGGTGACCGCCTGCGGAGAGAGAGAGCGAGGGCACAGCTAGCAGAATCACGGGCAGAGGGGCGTCCTTGCCAGCTCCTCCCCAGGGCTTTGACTCCTTCCAGCATAGACAAGTCCTGCGTCACCCCTGCCCACCTGCGGGGCCCAGGGAAAGGGGGTGAGATGAAGCATTGTTCACTCTATCCCGGGATGAAGTGCCGCCCTCAGCCACGAACTCCTAAAGCACCCTCCCTACCGCTGCCCCCGGAGCTGCTTCCTTTTTACTTGGACACTGAGCCCAGGCGTGATTGTGCTTGTGAGTGGCAGATCCACCCACACAGGTGTTCTCAGGCTGAGGCTTCCAGGCACTGGGGCGCAATAGCGAAGGGGCACATTCCCTTTGAAGAAGCTAAAAGGAGCAACCCACCCACTCCTGGTTTCGGGCCCCAGAGATGCCTAAATCTTTGAATGTGTGGGTCAGCGAGCCCCCAACAAACACGGGAGGAACAGAGGAGCTTCAGTGAGGAACTGTAGCTGAGCTGGTGACTGGTTCCTTTTAGGGAAAATGAGAAACACCCACCCATCCCCACACACACCCCTACTAGCCCAGGACCATACAGGTCACACTAACTCTTGAAATCTTCATCCCTTCTTCCCCATTCCCTCCCCCATAAAAAAAAATAATAATGATCTCTTGGGCCCTCCCCGCACACTCCGACAGTTCATGGTCGGAAAGTCCAGCCCAGGCTCCAGTCCATCCCTCCTGGTATGTTCCCGGGCTCACTACTTTGGGACTCTAGCCCCACCTAGCTAGGCTCCTAGGTTCTGAGAAAGACGAAATCTGGAGAAGTTAAACACGGGATGGGGGGTGGGGGTCTGACCATTCTCGGGTTAATAACAGAAACATAAGATTGAACCACAGTCACCACCAACTTTGCTCTTCCCGCCGCCGCCCAGCATCAAGACTGCCTTCCTTCCAGACTTGGCAAACCGCTGACCTTGCGTTCCTTAACTGTGAAGATGCCTGAGATCCCCAGAGACTGAAACAGCCGGGCCAGGCCCCCGCCGACCCTGTCCTGGGTACTCACCAGCGCACTCACGTCAGGTTCAGGAGCCAGGCCCGGGCTCCTGGGTTTCGCTTGGCCGACCCCGGGACACCCGCGGTCCCTCCTGCCTCCGGCATTTGGGTCGCTGGGGACGGGCATACGGAGCCTGGGCAACCCCAGCGCCTAGCTGGGGCCTGCGAGTGCAGCGTTGGCAGGGGAAGAAACCCTGCCGGGGAGGGGCGGGGAAGCAAAGGGGCCAGCTGCTGCTGCGTCACGTGGCGCCAGCAGATGTGCGGTCCTGGGGTTGGGGGAGGCTGAGAGAGGACAGCTGGAGGGACGGCCCTCTGTTCTGCTCCCAAGTTCACTTAACTGTCTGCGAGCAAGAGCTTGGAAAGACTGGCTACCGAGTCTTTGGGAGGCGGAAGAGCGGAGGAGCCGATAACAAGGAGAAGGAGATGAGCCCAGCGTTTCAGCCTTCCTCTTTCCCCGCCCTTAGCACAGACATAGACATCGAAGCACTAGTGTGTGCCATGCTTCAAAGTGTGCAAAGACACTAGATCTTGTTGGGATTTGGGAGGCAGGGGTTCCAGTCCTGCCACTGTAACTGTGTGACCTTAGGCAAGTCATATCTTGGGGGGGAGGGGTAAGGAAAATGGGGAAAAATAAGGAAATTTTCACAGTCTTCCTTGAGGGGTGGGGTGTTATGAGGAAAGCACTTTGGACACTTGCATTAGCACTATTATATTACTATTACTCAGAGAAGTTAAGGGAAGACTGGAGGGGTCAGAGAAGGAGAAGGACCAGGAAGGGAGTGAGATCGGAGCTGAGTTTTTGGAGAATAGGGCGCATGAGGGTCATGCAGAAAGTCTGTTTCTATGTACAAGTAGACCGTTTCTGTAAAATGGACATTTTCCTGATGTGGATGCAAGTGTGAGACACCAAGAGAAGCATCAGTCCCTCTTCTGCACAGTCCCTTCAGTACTGGGCTAGATGATCTCTTAAGGTTTGAAGGACTTAGCCAAGTAAATCCCGTCTCCAATTGCCTGCTGGACATGCAGAGACTCAAAACATGTCAGAGTGGAAAGAGACCTTAGGGTTCAAAGCACATCCCTCTGTGACCTCAAGCTTCAGACACTGGGTGATCAAAACCAGATTCTTCAATATGAATTGAAACAGATTGTTGCAGCCTGGGCCTGATTCAGGCTGGCCTGGTTCTTTAGGTGCGGAACTGGAATGAAATGAGATGCTCGAAGGCCATTTAACAGTTAACAAAGCTAGATTGAGCATAACCCTACAGCATGGAAGGACACTCAGCAAAGATACAGCATGGACTCAGTGGATGGAGGCTTTCCTGCTGGTGTTGGACACCCTGCCTGTCAAATCTAGAGCTACCCCTGCCTCCTTGAGGTCTGGCTTTCATATTTGGACCATCAGGAAGCTATTTCAGTGGCCTAACCTTTGTCTCCCAAGCCAATTACATTCTTAAAAATGGTTTCACTACCTTTTAAGGAAAAACTAGCCTAGCCAATATGGCAGATACTGCTCCTACCACACAGGTTCAGTGACTGTGATTTCCCCAAGGCCACTCAACCAGTAAGTGACACTAGATGATCTGAAAGGTTCTTTCCAGATCTAAATCCTATAATCCCATGACTGTGTTCTGGGGTCAGTGAGTGACTATTCTGGGACAGAGCAGAGGGTCCTTGGAGGTCTAGGGGGAACTGAGGCTTCTAAAAAGTAGCTTGAGACCAATCCCTCATATGCCCCTATTTTCCACTCCCTCCCAAATCCCTTCAAATGCATAACACAATTCCTTTAAATATGTAATAACCAATAACAAAAGGGTCAACAACCCCTTGATTATTAAGATCCAGTAAGATACCAGTGGGGAGATGAGTACTCTTGAAAGGTGTCTGCTACACTCCTGGAGGACATCTAGACATGTGTTCAAATCAAGGAGTAATGGTGAGGCTCTCCAGATGCTCCTGCTTGGGGATAACATTGTGCTGATTGTATCACGCTCTAGAACATTGCAGAATTTCCTAAATGAGCTTCACAAGCACTCAGCTGAGTTTAGATTAACCATCCACATGGGAAAAACTAAGTGGATAAAGAATGCCTGTCTGCTGTTCTAACTTGGATACAAAGGACCAGGATGGACACTTGGTTCATTGGTATATGTATATAAATCACTGTATGGACAATGAATAGGGTCCATTTTACAGGAGAAAAATGGATTGATTGCATTTGGAAAATTATGAAGTGCTTTTAATGACTGCCCCTCCCCTCCCCAACTTCTTCATGAAACAAAGACCTTCCTTCCTTCCTTTCTTTCTCTTTCTTCATTAACACCCTTTGGTGATACTGTATGCCTGTGGATCTTGGAACATCACAGTTTCCAAAGAACAAAAGTTGAATATCACTTACAGGGCAATGAAGAGGCACATAGTGGGTGGGTATGAACAGGTTGCCACCTGTTATCAAGCAAGGATGTCAGTCATGATCAGAAAAGGTGGGCTGGTCGTTTCAAGTAGGAGACATAGCTGATGGAAAATCCATGTTTTATGGGATGAAAGTCATCCAGAAGAGAGGGCATGGATGGATCATCATTTGCACCCTTGGAGGGAGTACCCATGTTGATCAAATCCATTGACAGGCAGGGCGTCCAACGCCAGCAGGGAAGCTTCTATCCACTGAGTCCATGCTGGGTCTTTGCTGAATGTCCTTCCATGAGTAGGGCTATGGTCAACCTAGCTTTGTTAAATGTTAAATGGCCTATGAGCATCTCATTTCATTCCAGCCCCACACCTAAAGAACCAGGCCAGCCTGAATCAGGACCAGGCTACGACAATCTGTTTCCTCATCTGTAAAATAGGGATCGCCATCTACCTTAAGAATTTTATCATGAGAAATGCCTAACATGCTATTGAAGGAGTATTTGACACCCTTGTTTTATAGTGGCAGCTAGGTGGTACACTGGGTAATCTGAGTTCAGAAGACCAGAGTTCAAAGCCAGCCTCAGATACTTATTACTCTCTGCCTTAGTTTTCCCAATCTGTAAAATGGGGATATTAGCAGCCACCTCCCAGGATTGTTGTGAGGCTCAAATGAGATAGTTTTGCAAGCCTTAAAGTACCTATTTAAATACTATTTATTCTATTTATGTAAATACTAGCTATAAGGAAACTCCCTCCCATAGAAACAAAGTGACTTTCCCAATGTTGCATAAGAAGTAAGAGACAGAGACAGGAGGATTTTAACTCAGGATTCCAAATTCAGAGCTCTTTCCACTAAAGGTGGATGACTCTAAAGTCTTAACTTTTTGTTTGTTTGTGAAGCAATTGGGGTTAAGTGACTTGCTCAGGGTCACACAACTAGTGTCAGATGTTTGAGGCCAAATTTGAACTCGGGTCCTCCTGACTCCAGGGCCCTGTGATCTACCCACTGCACCACCTAGCTGCCCTTTAACTTTTTGTTCATAACATAACTATCTCCCTTCTCTTCCTTCCTTCCTCTTCCCCAACCTGAATTTGAGTTAGAAGGGGCCTCCCTAGGCATCTAATCCAACCAATACCTAATCATAGAGCTTATGTTTGAGGCTTTTCGTGACCCTTCATTCATGCCCCTCTCTGGAACCTCTCCAGATTATCAATGCCTTTTGTGAGCAATGATGCCCAGACATGTAAAAGGCTATTGGAGAAAACCAGCAATCTCCCCAGTAAACAAGACCTGGGCTGCTTCCGAGATGCCCCTATTTTTCCACCTTGAATGAGTGTGTCACACCCTGGCCACTGAAATCCTGCCCTCCTCCCCAGAACCACAGGGAAAAGAATGACCCATGATGTCACTCAGAAATAGGGGGAGCAGATACACAGAATGTATAAAGAGACCAGCCCAGAGAGACTCGCACACATAGGATACAGGGACAAAGTTAGACAATCAAACACAGACACACACTTGTACAGAAGCATTGTGTGGACTGCTCATCTAAAATTTAACCATCAGAAAGTTGGAGCTTGAAGGAACTTTGAGACATTTCCTTTCAACCCCTGAATTTTTAAAATGGGAAAATTGAAGTCTCAAGAAGAGGTTTTGCCCCAAGTCACAAAGCTGGTGAATGGCAAAGGTAAGAGACAAGTGGTCAGAATCTATATTGTACAATGTGGTGCTGGCACCAGTGTGGATGGGGGCGGGAGGAGTGCAGACAAGAATTCTTACTGGTAAAATATGTAATATGGGCTCCTCAAGTTTCAAGCAAGGTTTCTCCCTTTTGTCCCCATCCCTGGTACTCAGTCCAGTCCATGCTGTCCCTAGCTAGTTAGAGCGCCTCACTTTATTGCCTCCAAGTGACCATGCTGTTAAATTATCCCTCCCTCTTACCTGTACCCAACTCTGTCCCCTCAGTCCAAGCCCAAACTTCAGTGAAAGGCCATGATAGGATTAAGTTAATTTATACTATAATGTGACTGACCTCCTCTAGAGAACTTATATTTTTAAGATGAGCTCTTTAACCCAAACTAAACTCTAATTAGTAAAATGCATTGGGGGATTTTTTTTAAAGCTCTGGTGCCATTCTTAAGGCCCCTCGATCTTCCAGGCTGCCTCCACAAACTTACCAAAGAATAGGGCTTAGCGAGCCAGCCCCAGTCTCCTCAGCACCTTCTGCACATTCTCTAGTTCAGCCACACTGGCCTCTTGCGGTTCCTCCTACAAGACCCTTCATCTCCCATGTCCCCTGCCTCCCATTTCACTGGCTTTCCTCCATGCCTTTAAAGCCCTCCCTCTGCCTCTTGGGATCCCCAGTCTCCTTCCAGACTCAGCTCTAGACCAGTGCTAGGCAGAGTTAGCATGTTACCCCCGAGGTTACCTTGTATCTGCTCCTCGTGTATTGTACAGATGTTCAAACATGCATATTATCTCCCCTGAGAATTTAAGTTACATGACTCTGGTACTGTTTCCCTTTGTGTCTCCATAGCCTAGAATAATGCTTGGCACATAGTAAGCACTTAATTAATGCTTTTTGATTGATACATACATACATACGTATATACTTATATGCATCCACCATGTCTGAGGAAGTGTGGGAGAGCCTTCTTCCTCCTACTTCCCCCTCTCCGTATCCCCCCTGCCCCAAGCATATACATCAGTGTCAAAGAAGAGCAGAAACTGTTCTTTCATGTTTAAAGGCAGCTGGATTGGCAGAATGCATGGAGTCAGGAAGACCCGAGTTAAAATGTGGCCTCACTTACTTACTAGCTGGGCAAGTCACTTCACCGAGTTTGCCTCAGTTTCCTCATCTGTCAAATGAGCTGGAGAAAAAAGTGGCAAACCACTCCAGTATCTTTGCCAAGAAGACCCCAAATGAGGTCATGACTGATCAACAACTCCCCTGGGCAATTCACTTAATTTCTCTCACCTTTGGTTTCCTCCTCTGCAAAATGGAGATGATAATAGCAGGAGCCTCTCAGGGTGGTGTTAGGAACACCAATGCATAAAATGCTTTGCAAACCTTAAGGTACTATTCAGAGTGTCCCCAAAGTCTTAGGGAAATTTGAAGCTTTAATAGCCTTATAAATATTATTAAACCCTCCCCCCCTTCTTTCTCTTCTCCTAATGCACCTCCCCACCTTGACCCAGACTCTCAGTTGTCACATCAAAGCCACAGGGCCCTTTACTAATCTATGATATTCGGTTACGTTCTAGCTGTGTCTCTGGGATACAAGGAGCTGGCGTGGGACATCTTCAAAGTGCTTTCGCCTCTAGCTGAGACAATGGATAGCTATGGGTGGGTGGGCATCAGGAGGGCCTAATACAGCGTATTAGGGCCTAATTCAGGGTAAGGCCCCATCTGTGTTTGATCAAAGGGTGGGAGAGGGGCAGGATCCCAGTCCTTCAGCCCTCCTGCACCCGTCTCAGAGTACAGTCTTCTCAGTACTTGGAGTAGGTCTGGGCCCCTGCCCCGGCTCCAGGCAAATCAGGCATCCCCCCCTTAGTCCAACAGGTCTGGATCGTGCTGGCTCAAGTTAGGGGGGGCCGGTAGTGCTTTGGCGGCCAGCTCGGCCGCCTAATCCTGTTTCTCTTCCTGTTCCTGGTACTCCCGGTGCGCCGGCAGCCCTAGCAGGTCCTCGGCCAGGCTGGTGAGACTACTCTTGTCTAGAGCCTCGACGAGGCGCTGCAGGGTGGCCCGGCGGCCCTCGGCCAGCACAAAGCGGTGCAGCATCTGGAAGGCCTGCTCGTAAAGCCCGTCGCGGTCGTACTCGTAGGCCAAGGAGTCCAGGTCGTGCTCCCGAAGGGCCCGGCAGTTCAGCGCCCGGCCTACCGTCCGCCACTTTCGGCCCACGGAGCGGGCGAACTTCTGTCGGTCCTCCAGGCCCAGCGGACGGTTAGCTGAGGGAAGGAGAAGGGAGAGCCCTGAGCGGAGACAACTGGGCAGTGGAAGATCCACAGGCCACCCTCCTCGGGCTCCGGATAAACCAGGGATTCCTGGCCCCCAGACACTGTAAACCGGAACCCCGCCCCCCCCCCGCCCGGTCCAAAACCAGGTTTTCAGTTCTCCATCCCTCCCACCTCCACACCCCCCCGCCCCCTCCCGGATGAACAAAGGATCTACTACCACCACCCCCTCCCTCTTGGACACCCCGGATAAAACAAGAATTGTCTCCTTTATAGACAGCTCCAATAATCCCAAGGAACTGTACCCTATCTCCGACGAACTAGACAATCCAAAAATTGCCCTTCCCTTCTGGGGCAGCCAGAACAATGAAGGAATTGTTCCCCTCCCAGGCACTCTCCTAACAGCACTCTCGATGAACCCCCACTTCCCACCCATCCCGGTAAACCGGGGATTGTCCCTTTCCTGACTGCCCTGGGGAAAGCAGCAGCTCCCGGAGGGATCAGGAATTGTGCTCCCACCAGCGACCCCTCACACTCTTTGCTGAGGTGGGGCACCAGCAGGATAATTAACTAGCGAACCCCTCCTCCGCCCCAGGGCTCGTTAAACCACTCACCAATCTGCTGACCCTGGAACACAAAGGTCTGTGCGGGCGCGGGCGGAGGGGGCGAGTGGGCTGGCGCCTTGGGAGCAGAGGCCTTAGGGGCTCCACCGCCCCCTGGATCGCAGGTCAGGCTCCGGAAAGCATCCTCCAGCTCGCCGATCTCCTCATCTCGGAGCCGGTCCGGCTGGGATGGGGTAAGGGAGAGGGAGGGAAGGCTAAAGATGAGTCTGGCTCCTTAAGCCCAGCCTCCCCGCCCTCCTCGTCCGAACGGCCGCTCGTCTCCGGCAGCCCGCTCTGCCTCCCTCCCCCAACCCCGCCGGGCGCACCTTGGCCTGCTGGATGCAGCGCAAACAGCGCTCCTCCTCCTGCAGCATCAAGTCCAGCCGCTCGGACCCCACGCGCAGCTCCAGGTGCAGCGGCACCATGTGCTGGGCGTGGCCGAGCAAGGCCGCCAGGCTTTCCTGCAGGGCGGCCCGCAGAGCCCCCTCGCGGTAGGTCCGGAGGAAGCGGGTGCACGGTTCCTGCCCGCAGAACTTCATCTGCACGATCAGCTGCGGGTTGCTGCAGTGAATCTTCAGGATCTGTACTCCATCCTGGCTCCCGGTGCATCCTGAGGTGGGGGGTGGGGAGTGGGGAGCCGGGGAGGCCCCAGGGGGTAGGGTGCAGTGGGTCAGGCTACAGGCTGACTCCGAGGGAGAGGGACATGTGCCTCTAGGCCAGCTGCCGGTTATCTATTAATTTAGATACCTCCCCCCCACACACACAGTTTTCAAATCCATTCTAGTCTAGGCTCAGGCTATCGCTGATTTTCTTTTTTTTTTTTTTTAAAGGACTCTTTTTAAATTTATTTTTAGTTTTCAACATTCACTTCCACAAGATTTTGAGTTCCAAATTTTCTCCACATCTTGTCCCTCCCTCCACCCCAAGACTTCGTGCATTCTGAATACCCCTTCGCCTAATCTGCCCTCCCTTCTATCTCCCCCCCTTCTCTTATCCCCTTCCCATTCTATTTTCCTGTAGGGTAGGATACATTTCTATACCCATTGCCTGTATATCTTATTTCCCGGTTGCCTGTATCACTGAATTTCTTAGTGACCTGGAAAGATCGCTGGGTTCTGACCAACTCAATTTCCATATGAGAGTATTGGACTAGAATGGTCTCTAAGGTCCCCTCCAGATCTAACATTCTGAAAATGTCCTAAATCTGACACTTGCTAGCTGTGTGACCCTGAGTAAGTCACTTACCTTGTCCGAGCCTTAGAAACTGATAATAATAATAGTTAGCATTTAAATAGCCCTTTAAAATAATATCTCATTTGATCCTCACAAGCACCCTAGGAAAGAGATGCTATTATTACTGCCATTTTACAGATGAAGAAACAGAGGTAGACAGAGGTTAAGTGAGTTGCCCAGGGTCACACAGCTAGTAAGTGTTTGAGGCTGGATTTGAACTCAGGGGCTTCTTGACTCCAGGTCCAGCTTTCTGTCCCACCTGTCACCTGGCTGACTTCCTAATGATCCATTGTTTAGGCATTTCAATCATGTCCAACTCTTCATGACTCCATTTGGGCGTTTTTTTGGTAGTGATATAGGAATGGTTTGCCATTTCCTTCTCCAGCTCATTTTACAGCTGAGGAAACTGAGGTAAACAGTGACGTGATCAGTGTTATCCAAAAATTGGAATTGATTGCTTTCAGAGGTAGTGGGTCATCGCTAGAGGTCTTCAGGCAGAGAGAGGTAGGATAACTACTTATTGGAGATATTGTGAAAGGAATTAATTCCTCTTTGGGTACAGATTGATGATCTCTAAGGTCCCTTACAGCTCTGGGATTCTAACATTCTATGTTCAAAGGTCCCATCCACCTCTGACCTTCTGTAGTTGTTCCCTCTATGCCAGAGGGAGAGGCTTGTAAAAAAAAAAAAAAATGCTGCTCCAGCTTGGCCTGGCTAGACGTTGAGACTGTGGCTAGCTCTTAATAGTCATACAAAGCTACTGTTTAAAATAAAAGGTTGGGGGCAGTTAGGTGGCACAGTGGATAGAGCACCAGCCCTGAAGTCAGGAGGATCTGAGTTCAAATGCAGCCTCAGACCAAACACTTGACACTTACTAGCTGGACCCTGGGCAAGTCACTTAACCCCAATTGCCTAAAAAGAAAAGAAAATAAAGGGTTGGCTGGCCCTTTGATGCACCTCTAGGCAACAGCTATGGTCTTAGGACAGCTTGGGCTGCACCAGAGGGAAGGCCCTGTCACCTCAGCAGCTGATGGAGTGTGCCCCTCATCCCAGAAAACAGTATATGATTAGTGGATAGGGAGGTCCTGCCTGTTAAGACTGGGGCCTCTGGAAATTGGTGATACCAGGGATAACCTCAAAAAAGCTTTGGGGCTTTAGGGGTAGGGGGACAACTAGAGGCAGATACCAAGAAGACCTTCTTCACCTGGTCTCACAGCCAAACCCAGACCATGGTGGGGGAGGGGAGGGTTCCCACATCCTGCTTCATCCTGGTCCCCTGCTCACTCCCATGTCTCAATGCCACTGGGGGCAAGGAAGCCTTAAGGGGCAACATTCAGAGGAAGGAGAGCTGGGCAAAGGAAAAAGCCTGAGGAAGGGTGCAATGAGACAGAAGAGGGAAATCAGGGAAGGCAGGAAGCAGACATGGAGAGAAAGAGAAAAGGAGTTAGACAATGAGGACAGTCCAAGTGTCCTAAGGAAAGCACACATGAATGGTGTTAGTCAACATACATACACATATATGGGCATGCACTACATACACTCATAGACATTCATTGTGCCCATAAATACATATATGTGTATGTAATGGGGCCAGACCCCCAATTCACATAGAAACATGTAACAAATGCACGCTGACAAATGCACATGCTTCCATACACACACTGAACTACAGGTGTATACATGCACACTCATATATGACATTGATAGACACGTGAGCAATGTCCATATGCACATGAAAGCCCACGTGTCATGCATCCACACGTTTTCCCTTGCAAATATACATTTATGGAGCTGCTATGTGTAGGTGGAGTGATGTCACCTTGGAGACAAAGGTAAAGTGTCCTGGACAGCCACCCCCTACTCTAGCCTTAGAGACTCATGCCTTAGCTATTTGGGGTCACACTGACAACTCAGGGCCTGCCTGCCTCTTAGTTGTTCTGTATACATGGCCAGTAGAACAGCTTTGGGAGCAAGGCTGTTCATCGAGAGGTGCCCCCCACACTCCTTCGATATTTTAGTCTGGAATTGGGAGATGATTGATTTCCCTCTTCACTTTCTATTGAGGGAAGGCATGGGAAGCAAAAACTAGGCCCCAGGATGGGGAGGAGGTGGTAACAAGAGACAAGCTTTAGACAAGGCTAGCCTTGCCCCTACATCTGTACCACCCCCCTAGCTGGATGATCCTCACTTCTCTGACCATCAGTTTCCTCTTCTATAAAATAGGACTAGTATTTGCACTACCTCTCAGGGTTGCTGTGGGAAAGGCAGGAAGCCTTAAAATACCATTGAAATGTGAGCCTCCATCATTATTATCCCCCCCCCCCATATATACACCCCAGGATCCCATAGTCACCTGCCAGTGCCAATTTAAGGACCCGAAATATTGCCAGCTTCTGCCGAGGATCTTGGTATAGATTAGGCAAAATTACTTTCTCCATCGACGATTCCACAAACAGGTAGGCACTGCCGCTCCACTCCTGGAGGCCATCTGCCATCTTCCTGGAGTCATCTGCCATCCCAGGCTCCTGTAGGTCATGTTGGCCAGTCACCAGCCTTGCCTTTCCAGGCTCCCAAGGAATCCTAGATCCCAGGCTGAGACTGTTCTCCATTCAAATAGGAGATGCCCCATTAAGTCACTATGCTACCTAAGAAATCCAGCCAACTCCAAAAATAAAAATAGCTGACATTTATCTAACAGTTTAAGGCTTGAAAAAAAAAACAATTTACCCAGATTACTGCATTTAATCTTCACAACAACCCCATAAGGTAAATGCTCTTAGTATCCCCATTTTACAGATAAGGAAACTGAGGCAGGGAGAAGTTAAATGACTTGCCCAGGGTCATACAGCCAGTAAGTGTCTGTGGAGGGATCTAAACTCGGACCTTTCTGACTCCAGCACAGTGTCCAACAGCTCCATTCATTATGCCAAGTTGGTTTTCAACAGAACAAAGACCGTTCTTCCCCACCCCTCAACAGCTAATTCAACCACCAAGGATCAAATAAGTACTTTAATAGCCAAGAGAAGGATCATAGTAAGCCTCCCATTGGGAAAGCTGATTAGTGAGACTAAAAAAAATGGGAGCTGAGGCAAGGCAACCTTCTATCTTTGGGTCCCCTCCCCTTAGTACAAAATGGAATCGGTAGGGATGGCTGAAAATGGATGATCAGACTGAAGGGCCCTTGGGATATGATGTTAAGACTCGGAAGACTGCATCTTATCTTATTTGATCCTCACAACTCTGTGAAGTGGGTGCTATTATTATCCCCATTTTACATATAAGGAAATTGAGGCTCAGAAAGTGATTTACCCAGGAATAACACAGCTGGTAACTGTCTGAACAAGAATTTGAACCCAGGTCTTTTGAACTCCTCCTCCTTCACTCTATACAAATTAGGAAAAATAAAAAATGCTAAGATGCTATATTATAGCTAAGAAGGGTCTTCAAACAGAATGCTTTTCACCTGTGGAGTGCTACAGCTGCAAGCTACCTTGGAAAAAGGTTCAGTAAATGGCAAGTTAGCCCAACACAGAATGGTCCTTAGAGCAAAGAATGCTGATGGCTGTTGGGGGTGCAGAGTCCGGCCAGGGCCCAGCAGCGAGGTGGGGGAAGCCCAGGAGACAGCGGGCAGAGAGCACTTCTCATGCCAGGAGCCACAAGGAACCGTTAGCACTTTCTTAGAATGGTGCACCCGGATCTCCTCCCCTGTGTGCTTCCTGGAGAGGGGGGAGTCCTCAGCTTTTTTCACTTTCATATCCTCTTGCCCAAGAGAGATCCCTCCCTCCCTCCCTCTCTCCCTTCCTCCCTTCCTCAGGGGAGCCACCTCCCTGAACCCCAGAGAGGGGTCAGGCTCCCTAACAGACTCAGCTCCCCTTGTCTAGACCCTGTGGCCTTGGGCAGCCTGTTCCGGTACAGACTGAACTGGGGGGATTCCAGCCAGGAAAAAAGAGACAGATGGGAGGGACGAGCCAGAGGAGGGCTGACACAAAGCAGAAGTCCCCTACAAGAGGCCAGGGCAAGGCAGAGGGTAATCCCTGCCAGGCTGGTCAGCTGGAAGCCCTAAGATTCCCCCACTTCTCTGGGCCAGCAGTATGGTGGGAGCTGGGGTGCAGTGGGGATGAGGAGCAGAATAAGATTCATTATGCCTACCACTTGGGGGGAAGAAAAGGAATCTTCCATCCACCAAGGGCATTAGCTATGGGGCCAGACCCCATCAAGGGTCATTCAATCATTCAGACCCAAGCATTTCCAGATGATGAAATTGAAGCAAACAGAGGTTAAGTGACTTGCCCAAGGTCACTCAACTAATAAGTGTCTAAGGCTGGATTTAAACTCAGGTCTTCCTGACACCAAGCACTTGGCTCTATCCATTTTACCACCTATATAATTTCTAGCTATTAGAATGAACTTTGTAAACTTTAGATGTGTCAGATATAGTCATTTTTATTATCATTATTAGAATTAGGTGGAGTTGTGTGAACTTGGGTAGGAGATTCATTGAGAGGAATTCTAAGAAAGTATAGCCACACCCTTGTCTTGGAGGAGGAAGTGATTAGTTTCTCTCTCTCCTTTCTATGGGGAAGTTTTTGGGAAGCAAATTAATACTCACAAGGGCAAAGTTTAAGCCACTTAGGGAAACACACTCTTCCTGGAACTCAGCATCTCATTTCCCACCTCGGTGCTTTTGCAAAAGCTGTCCTGCATACACAGAATGCACTCCCTCCTCACATTCACCCATTAGAACTCATCAACAGCTTCATTCCATGATCAACATGGATGCCAACCTTCATGGATGCCTTTTATGATCCACCTCATTTTTAGGAGGTCTCCTCCTCCTCCTAATTTTTTTGGGTAGCTAGGTATGGAAGAGTACCAGGCCTGAAGTCAGAAAAAACCTGAGTTCAAATCTGGCCTCAGACACTGATTAGCTGTGTGATTCTGGACATGTCACTTCACCCTGTTTGCCTCAGTTTCCTCAACTGTCAAATGAACTGGAGAAGGAAATGGCAAACCACTCCAGTATCTTTGCCAAGAAAACTCCAAATGGAGTCATGAAGAGTCAGACAAGACTGGACAACTGATCAACAATTTCCCCAAATTATCTTCTATTTACATATCTGTGTAGCTACTTTATCCCCCCGGGGTGGGGAACCTGCAGCCTCAAGGCCATAGGGGATGTGTTCTGTGAAGTATGGATTCAGTCAAAGGGCCCTACTTGAGCTCCTAGAGGGCCACGTGTGGCCTCGAGGCTGCAGGCTCCCCACCCCTAGTCCAGGGGTTCTTCAACTTGTTTTAAGAACTTATACTTGTACTCCTTCATTAACAGCCTGATAAAGCCTAGGGACCTCTTCTCAAAATTAGTTTTTTAAATATTTGAAGGCAACACTCATTTTCAGTTATAAATTAGTGAATAAAGATGTAATTTTTCCCCCATCCAAGTCCATGGACTTCCTAAAATCTACCCACAGACCTATTGGGGGGTATATAGACCCCAGGTTAAGAATCCCTCATCCAGGTAGAACATAAGATCTTTGAAAACAGAGCCATTTATTTTGTTTGGGTACCTGGTTTCTCACATTAAGCAACAGGTACTTAATAAATACTTTTTTTTTTTCCAAATTGAAGTAGGCCATTTGAGCATGAAAAAACAGATGCTCCCCTGAGGAAACTAAGGCAGCTGGCATCAAAGTGAATAGAGCACAGGGGCTGGGGTCAGGAGGTCCTGACTCAAATCCAGCCTCAAACATTTATTAGCTGTGTGACCCTGAGCAAGTCACTTACCCTCTGTTTGCCTCAGTTTCCTCAAATGAAAAATGGAGATCATAATAGCACCTACCTTACAGTTTTGTTAGGTGAATAAAATGAAATATTTGTAAGGTGCTCAGCACTGTGCCTCACATATTAGGCCCTTAATCAATGTTTATTCTTTTCCCCCACCTTTCAAACACACACACACACACACACACACACACACACACACACACAATCTCCTGCTTGGTGACAGGGAACTCTTTATAGTGACTATACTTCTGTACATGAGTCCTGATCCTTACGAGCCTTGGGGACTGTTTTTTGTTTATTTGTTTGTTTTTTAACACCAGCCGATGGACCCACCTCTTCTTTTATCTATAGCCTCCCTATAGCTTCTGTCCTTTCATCAACCATCGCCCAGCCCCCATGCAAGGGACTGAGCCCAATTTCAAAGGCCACTTCTGGCCTTTGTGGTCAGGCGAGGGCAAAGTTCCCTCAACAGGAACCCAGCCTCTACCTCAGAGCACCACTTTGGCTCTAAACACCTTAGTGTCACTGGGGACCTCTAAAAGAAAGGGGGACAGGAAGAATTGGGCTATGGAGAGAGCTGGGCATGAGCCCACCTCCTACCACCACCCACAATGGCTGAGAAACATATTGATCAAGGGAAGTTTTGATCAGGGGTGTCAAAACTCAAATAGAAAAACTGTGTTCCTATGGGCCAATGCTGACTTAGAAAACCACAAATTAACATTATCTATGTTGTATTTTTTATTTATTTTGCTAAACATCTCCCAATTAAACTTGAACCTGGTTTGGCCCCACTCTGGAGTATTTTTCACTACTCGTGACCAGCTGGCGGCAACTTTCACAGCTCTCATTTAGTTTATAGGTATAGCTTAATTAAGGGTAGAAAGGGGGGCAGCTAGCTGGCACTGGGGATAGAGCAACAGCCCTGGTGTCAGGAGAACCTGAGTTCAAATATGACCTCAGACACTTACTAGCAGTGTGACCCTGGGCACGCCACTTAACTCCAACTGCCTCCCCCCAAAAAAAGAATGGAAGGGGAGCTGAGAGATCATATAATTCAGTTCTCACTTTACAAATGAGGAAACTGAGGCTCAGAGGCAGGAAATAGCAGAGCTTGGCAAAGTCCTTGACATCTTTCCATCTGACTCCTCATAGCCATGACCACCAGCCTAGTTCAGGCCCTTTCAACTGGACCAAACCTCCAGACTGGTGGCCTTATCTTCAGTTTTATTCCAATCCATCCTTCTCACAGCTACTGAAGTAGCTTCCTAAGACACTACTTTGACCATAAAGGCAGAAGAGGCACCTTCCGCTGAGGATGAGAAAGAAATGCAAGAGGCCAAGGAACTGTTCTCAGGAATAAAAGAAAAAACCAGTTCCACAGCTGGTCCAGACTCAGTGACCTGCCATGGCTCCCTGTTTCATATCCATAATAATCCAAGGAGATTCTTCAGCCTGACATTTCCAGCTTTGCCACGATCCAGTTTCAACCTATCTTTTCAGTCTTGTCCCACCCACCCTACTCCCTGGTACATATGCTAGGCACCTGCCAAAATGAATGACACCCAGGCTCCCCCAACAAAATGTTCACTCTTCTGAGTAGATTTTTGACTTTGTTCAAATTCTCCCTTATGCCAGGAATACCAGAACCTCCCACCATACCCCCCTCTCCTTCAAAGTCCTTGAAACCTTCCCTAATCCTCTTTGCTGGAAGGGATCAGTTCCACATTTGTTTTTATAGCACTTAAAAAAAAAAACCAACCTCTTCTAATGCATTTAGCATCTTCTGATTTCTATCCCTGGAGGTCTCTTATCTCCCCTACAAATAATTAGAAGTCTTCTAAGTTGGAATAGGAAGGAGCGGGTTTCCCCTTCAGATGTCTTCAATGATGGCTTGTTAGGGACATGGTAGAAGGAATTCTCAATTAAGATCAAGGTGGACTTGCTGCTCCCTAAGGACCCGCTCTACTCTGAAATCCTGTGATTCTGTTACTTTACGGTCTTTATCCAGTCCCAGTACATTGCATACAGTAAGCTCTTAAGTGTTGGTTAAGTGACATCTCCTTCCTTCCTGGCTCTTCCTTCTCCTCTGTCTTGGCTGTATGCCAGCCAGCTCCATCCCCCTCGACCCATGCTATTGGTCTATTCCTCCAGTCCCCTCCTTGGCTTCTGGCCAAGGTACCTTCCTTTGCCCCTAACTAGGACTTCTCTTCCAGAAATGTTTCACACCCACTGGTGTGAAAACCTAGGCAAGCAGGGCTGCTGAATTCGGGAGGGAGGGTGGGGGATGGGCTCTGGTCCCTAAGTCCAAAGGGGAAAGGCTGGGGGTGGGGCGGGGCTGAACCAGGCCCAGCTCATTGCTGACCTCCAGATTTTCAGCTTGACCTAGTGCTTGGCAAGAGAACTAGGCTTGGAAGCGGAGAAAGGGCTCGGATTTTTAACAAGCGTGAATGCCCACTCAAATCCCTTAACTTCCTAGGGCCTCACTTTCCCCACATGCAAAGAGGGGAAATTAACACTTGCACTCAAAGTTGTCCTGAAAAATGCTCTTTGCAAACTTTATAAGAGCCTCAGAAACTCGAGCTATCCAACGAAACCGTATCCCGAGGAGGGAAGGCCGAGGCTCGGAACAGTATCTCCCACGTGGGGCCCGGCCCTAGCCCTGGCCAGCCCAAGCTAGCTCGGGAGAGAAGGGAGACGGGAGAGGAGAGGGAAGGGAAGAGAGGAAAGAAGGCTGGAGGCCAAGGGAGCTGGCCTGAATCCCCTAGGTGTCCTACTCAGTCCGGTTCGCGCCAGGGATCGATGCACACACCCCTCCACACCTACTCCCAGCTCAGGACCCTGCCCATGCCTGGCTCCTCTAACCAGGCCAAACCTGGCACAAGGACCCCAGACCTGCGCCATACTGTTCTCTGCCCGCTGGCCCCTACCCAGCCCCCCCCCTTCCCTCTTCGTGCCGTGCTTCCTCCCCAACTAAGCTCCCCGCGGACACTGACCAAGCCGTCTGGTCCCCGCTGCTCCGGCTCTCGAAGACCGGTTCTGTCCACCCGTTCTTCCGGGTTTGCGCAGAGCCCAAGGGGAGGGGGAGCAGGGAGGAGGAAGAAGAGAGAAGGGGAGGGACAGAGCTGGCTCCCCGCCCCGGGATCCCCCGAACTCCGGGACAGCGGCCGCCCCTGGAGAGCAGCCAGGGCAGTTAAGAAGCGTAGTGACTGGAGCTACGTAGTGGCTGGGTCTAAGGGCCTACGGGCCTAGGTCCTTCCTCTGACCCAGCCCGATCCAAGCCTACGGACCAACCTAAGCATCCATGAGTCAGCCATCCCTGAGTCAGTCTAGCCGGCCCTGGAAATTCAGGGATCCCAGTAACCCTTTCAGCTCGAGATCCGAGGACCGCGCGCTGGGGCAGGTAAGAAACATCTAGATCCGGATTAGCTGGCAAGAACTTCTCAACTGGAAGGAGTGAGTAATATTCACAGCGGTCTGAGGAAGGCTGGGACGCAGGCAGTGCGAGGAAGAGCCCTGGGCTTGGAATCAGAAGTCTGTCTGAGTCTGTTTGAGTTTCGACTTGTGTGCCGCCTTAATAACCACTTTCCCTCTCAGCCTTTTTCCTCTTCTGCAGACGAAGGGTAGTAATAGCCAGCATTTATATTACGCTTTCGGGTTTAGAAAAGGCTTTATGTGTTATCTCATTTGATCACAACAGCTCTGCGAAATAGGCGCTCTTATTATTCCCATTTTACAGATTCAGAAACAGAGGCTGAGAGAGGTTAAGTAATTTACCCAAGGTCACATTGCTAGTATGTATTGGAGGCAGGATTTGGACTCAGGTCCTTCTGACGCCAAGTCAACCACTATCCACCGTCACCTCTCTCTGGCTAGCCCCTAAGGGTTGTTGTGAGGAAAGCTGAACAATTGTGGCTTATTATTTGTCTTCTATTAGAACCCCTACCTGCGGGGGTGGGGGAAGGAGAAGGAGATCCACAGGATAGAGATTCATGTTCAGTTTGCCTTTGGGGAGTAATGGAGACTTAGTGTCCCTGGGTTATGTGGCTCAGGCGGAACCGGCCCCCCCGAACACCTCACCCCACTCCACCCTGCCTCATACGTCGGACTTTGAAAAGAAGATGTGGGGACGCACGATAGTATGGGGCAGGGCCGGGTAGGAAAAAGCTCGAGACGTGGTTGGTGGCAGCTGGGGCAGTCTCCATTTCCGTAGCGCTTTAAAACTGACAAAGCGACTGGAATTGGTCGTGCAAATATTACATGAGGAAATGTGGCGATGTGACTTGCACACCCACAATTATGTCAGAGACAGGATTTCGAACCAGGTCCTCTGGCATTGAGTCCAAGGTTTCCACTACCTCAAACTTCCCGTGCCCGGGGGTGGAAGGAGGAGGGGGACTTCCCAAGCCCAGCTGTCACCTCCGCCCCCGAGCCTGGCCGCACCCAGCTTTCAACCTGCCCGTCTGTCCCAGGACACTTTAGCCTCCACCACCTCTCAGAGCTATAGGATTGAGAGGACGAAGGGCGGAGGAGGACCTAGCTCTCCTCCGCCCAAGTCCTCAGAAACGGAAACAATTGATAGGGTCCCCTGCTCCCCAAAAGAAGGGATCCCCGGGGTTGATGACTACAGGATCAAAGGGGAACACTTGCGAGGCACAGAGGGCTGCAGACACCTGATTGATGCCTGGGACACCCAGAGTAGACCCACCAGCCTCCATCCCACAGCTTCATCTGGGCTCGGCCCCGCCCAGTCTGGTGATTGGCTACTAGTCCCCAGCTGATTTGAATGAACCATTCAGGTCTCTACTCGGGGTTCTAGAACCCTACCCATTTAACTCCTTCACTGCCGCAAGGTGGTGAGTATAAGTGGAAAAGAGGCTCTTTTAACCCAAAGGACTGCCAGATTCAAGGGGTGACGTTGGCAAACCGTGTCAGGATCATGGGGTAGCCAAGAGAGTGAGCCCGGGGTTCCTTGGATTCTACAGGGGCTCCGGGAGCTACCGAGTCGGTGTTGGGCGACGGTGAATGCGGACAAAAAGTTCCCAAAACCCTACCCCAAGTTAGGGCCCTGGGCTACTGAACTCCGCAGACCCCAGCCAGGAGCCCCCGGCCTCAAAATGATCTACGCTCCAACGTAGGCCAAGTGGTCGCCCTCCTCGAAGTTCCAGGCAAAATATAAACCTGAGAAAAACTACAGAGCTGGAGGAAAAGCCGGAAGGCCACGGCCTCGGGTATGATCTAGGCTCCCTGTCCCTTTAGTAAATGACGGACGCGCCCAAAGGGCAGCGACTCTCAGGCCCGGGTTGTGGCTGTGCCCAGTATCCCGAGACTGAGAGACTATTTATTCTGGGCCAGAAGTGAGAAAGTTGATTGTGATCTTTATAATTATCGCGCGTAGGGGGAAGGGATGGGGTTGGGCGGGTGGAGGGGAGAGTCAAGTCAAATTCACTAGCCTTTATTAAGCATTCTGCGTATTAGACACTGTGTTAAATTCTGAAGATATAAAGAAAAGGAAAAAGCCCCTGCCTTCAAAGAGCGCACATTCTAACATTCGGGCTGAATGGGAGGTAATTTTGGTAGCATTAAGGGAGATGGGGACAGGAAGTCACGCAGGAGGGAGGACAAGAAAGAAGGTGATTGACCCTTCAGACTTGCCCCTGGGCTGTGAGGTTGGAAGGACTGAGTACTCTCCTAATGACAGGCAGTCTGAATGGAAATGGAAGATGAGAAAGACATCAGAGAGAGCTAAGAGTGTATTATCTAAACATACACACATACACACACACACACACACACACAGGGCAACAAACACAATTTGGCATAGTGTGAATGGCAGAGCTATAAAACACCTAAAAGAATGTGAGACTAGTCAATAAGCATTTATTAAGCACTTACTATGTGCTGGGCACTGTGCTAAGCGTTGGAGAGAAAAAGAAAGACAATAGATAGTCTGTCAAGGAGTTAAGCCTAATGCAGGAGACAACAAGCAAACATATTCAAACAAGCTGTGTACAATATAAATGGGAAATAATTCATCACTGCAGTTAAGAGGGATTGAGAAAGGCTTCCTGTGGAAGGGGGTTTTTTAGGTGAGACTTGAAAGAAGCTGGGGAAGCTGGGAGGAGGAGATAAGGAGACAGAGCATTCCAGACGTGGGAGACAGCCAGTGAAAATGTCAGAAATCCGAAGATGGAGTGTCTGGTTCAAGGAACAGCAAAGTAACCAGTGTCACTGGATCACAGATTATGTGGAGGTGGGAGAGGGGTGTAAAATGTAAGAAGGCTGGAAAGGTAGGATGGGGAGGAGGGACTAGGCTATGAAGGGCTTTGAATGTCAAACAGAAGATTTTTGTACTTGATTCTGGTGATGATAGAGCCACTGAGTTTATTGAGTAGGGATGTAACATGGTCAGACTTGTGCTTTAGGAAGAACAAGAGTGTGGGAGAGACTTATAGCAGCAGACCTATTGCAATAATCCAGGCATGACAGGATGAGAGCCTGCATTAGAGGTATGCCAGTGTTAGAGGAGACAAGGGGGAGTATTTGAGAAATGTTGCAAAGGTGAAATCACAGTGTTGGCAACAGATTAGATATGAGAGGAGAGACAGTGAGGGTGACAGAAAGTGAAGAATCCAGAACTACTTATATGTTGTGAGCCTGAGGGACAGTGAGCACAGAGAAGAGGTGCTCTCCACATTAATAGGGAGGTTTGGAAGTGAGGAGGGTTTGGGGGGGGATCTAGAATGTTAGAGCTGGAAAAGATCTTATAACGTAGAATGTTAGACCATAATACATAGAATGTTAGAGCTAGGAGGGATTTTAAAAGTCCCAGAGGTTCTTAACCCTTTCTGTGTAATGGCCCAACCCTTTGGCAGTCTGGGGAAGCCTAAAGACTCTTCAGAATGTTTTTAAATGCATAAAATAAAATATTTAGGATTATAAAGGAAACCAATTATATTAAAATGTTTATTTTAAAATTTTAATCAAATTTATGGACCTCTGGTTAAGAACTGCTGGTTTCCAGTCCAGCTGTTTGCTATATGAATATAATCTCTAAAAAAATGAGAGACTGACCATATTAACACTGAGAAGGCGAAGCATATGGAATGTATTGCCCTGTGAGAAGGCATATGCTGAAAGTTAAAGAAATCTACAATGAAATTTCAAGGAAAGTTATCACACAGTTATCACAGGAGGATACTGAGCTGAACCTAGGTCTTTTCTCAGGGATCCAGGCTTATGTTCTCATGGAAACCCTCACCCTATGGTAGTTTCCCCAGCCATGCAAGGCATTGAGTAGGAGCAGGGGGAGAGTTCATTGAGTGTGTGGTTCTTTCTCTTTGAGCCATGCCCAGGTCTCTATCACCAGACCAGCTCCAGTCACGCTGCAGAAAAATCGGCAGACGGGGATCTTTTGGAGCTCAACCATCTTCCCAATGGCTGAACCATGGAAATACCTCCCTGAAGAATTACTGTCATTGATCTTCCGATACTTACCCCTTCGCGACCGATATTCCGTTTCCCAAGTCTGCCAGGCTTGGGCCACTGCTGTCAACTCAAGCTCTGTGTGGTACATCACAGATATCAGGTGAGGAACCAGTAAGGACCCCTTTCTGCCTTCCCCACAGTAGGAGCCTCTTCCTTTCAAGAGTTCTAAACCCCAAAAGCACCCAGGTGGCAGGAGACAGCACTGAGCCTGCAGTCAGGAAGACCTAAGTGCAAATCTGGCCTTGGACCCTTACTACTGTATGGGTCTGGGCAAGTCACTTAACCTTATTTTAGCCTCAGTTTTATCATCTATAAAAGGGTATAATAATAATAATAATAATACCTGCCATATAGGGCTGATGTGAGGATTAAATGAGATATTTGTAAAGTGCTTTACAAACCCTAAAGAGCTATAGAACTATTATTATTTTTATTGTTATTATTATTATTAAACTTAACTGAGGTCCCAGGGCACCTTAGCCATGGGACAAATTCAAACTGATAGCAAAGGACCAGTTCTGGCACTTTAGTTTTCAGTGAACACTATCATCGAAATTAGAATAACTGCCTCCAAATGAGTGACTGAGTCCCATTAATGATTACTTGTGAGAGAAGGTAGCCAGCCCAGGCTTATCAGTTCCACCCACTTCCCAGTGTTCTTGACTAATGACTCATGCTTAGAAAGCTTCCAACTTCCACTCTTACCCCAGAGGAAGTGGGTCCATTCCCTAGGGTCCTCTGAAAAGTTTTACAATACTGTAAACATTCAGCAAACTAATAACACAGGCATCACCCTAAAGCCCTGTCTCATGCCGGCTCAGACACCAGGGATGGAGAGATGGCTCTGCACCCCCTCACCTCATATGTCCTGCCTCCAAGTAGGAGAGAGAAGGCCTTCGGGGAAATTTACTGACTTGGCTATATGGAAGGAGGAAGGTGTTGGGCCTCAAACCTCACATTCTAGAAGTCTATGCCTGCAGATAATGAGTATACGGTAGCAGATATAGCCAATCTGCAAGGGCTTCAAGTACCTGCCCAGTGGTTTTTTGGTTGTCCAAGGCCTAACCTAGCTAATTCATTTGGCTTCAATTCAGCGGGCAGTTATTAAATGCCTACCACATGTCAGTTCTTGGAAAGAAAAGAAAGGAAGGGAGGAAGGAAAAAGAGAGGGAAGGAGGGAGAAAGAAAGAAAGAAAAAAGAAAGAAAGAAAAGGAGGAAGGAATGAAGGAAGGAGGGGTCTTTACCCTTTAAAGAGTTTGCATTCTTTTGAAATGTAGCTAAATGTGAAAGGGCTCAGAGCCAATCGGGCAAGAAGCTAAAAGCATTTAATTAAAAATTAAAATTTTTTCCTGAGCTTTAATTTAACAAATGCCAAATTGAATGTGTATTTGTGTATACAGAGTAAATCAGAAAAAAGGAGATTATGCAGGTCTTTATATGTGTAGCTAAATTTTTTTTAAATGTATGTATTAAATTCAACCTGTAGCTTTTGTGTTTGTCCTGCTCCATTGGACTTCTTTCTGGTCTTCCTTCTGTTTTCCTTTCTCCATTTAAAAAAAAAAGCTGTCTCAAAACTCTCTTTGCTTCCCTCTTTCCTTCCTTCCTCCCTTTCTCTTTCTTTCTCCCTCCTATCCCTATCTCCCCTCAACCTCCCACCCCAATCCCAATGGAAAAAGAAAAAAAAAAGCCCTAGTAACAGATATTTGTTGTCAAGCAAAACACATTCCTTCATTGGTCCTGTAGAGAAACGTATGCCTTATTTTGCATCTTGAGTCAATTACCCCTCTGCCAATTGATGAGTAGCATGCTTCCTTATCAGTCCTCTGGAATGAGAATTGGTCATTCATTTGATCAAAGTTCTCCAGTCTTTTAGAGTAATTTTTTTTGTAATTCAACAAGCATTTATTAAACATCTACCGGGTATTAAAAAAAAAAGGCAAAAACAGTCTCTGCCCTCAAAGACCTCTCATTCCAATGGCAGAGACAATATATAAAAAACCAGGTACATACAACCTATATACAGAACAAATGGGAAGCATTCTGAGAGGGAAAAGCATTAATAGCCTGGGGGACCAGGAAAGGCCTCCTACGGAAAGTAGGTTTTGAGCTGAGTCTAGAAAGGAAGCCAGGGAACCTCAGAGGCCAAGGTGAGAAGGCAGAGTACTCAACCAGCTCAAAGGCAAGCCAGGAGATGAGAAAAAAGAGTATCCTGTGTGAGGGACAGTGAACATGCCGATGTGGCTTCATCATCGAATCTACAGAGGGGAATAATGTGTGAGAAAACTGCAAAGGTAAGGAGGCACCAGCTTATGAACAAATAAAGAAGTTTATATTTGACCCTGGGGGAGCCATTGGAGCTAAGGAGGCTTAGAGAGGTTGACACAGTCAGACCTACGAGTTACAGAATCACCTTGGCAGCTGAATGGAGGATGGGTTGGACTGGGGAGAGATCTGGGATGAGGAAGCCAGTTAGAAGGCTATTGCCATAGTCCAGGTAAGAGGTGTTGAAGGCCAGAAACAACTGTGGCTCTGTGAGTGGAGAGAAGGGAACAACTAAGTATATGTAAGAGTTTGTAAAGTTAGAAAGGACAAGATTTGTCAACAAATCGGATATATGGGGTGAGTTGGGGACTTCAGGAGAAGGCTGACCACTGGGTGATTATTGTAATTTGCTTACTTAAATTTTTTTTTAATTCATTCATTTGTTTGTTTGTTTTTGCCATAGCTAATCCCGAAGGCTCGTCTGTTGAGGCAGGGAAGGGCTACTCTCTGCATGAGCATACTAGGGAGTACTTACAGTAATAATGTAAGGCATTTTTGAAGGAGTATTAACTATTTCTTTTTACAATGAAAGAGATGATTTATCTATTTATGATTTCTTCAGCCCAAAACTATGTCCCAGGGGCAAATCCCTCTTGGTGTGTCACGGCACATGAGAGTGAGGACTTAGAATGTCAGACTTGGAAGGGTTAGACCAGATAAGGCCAGGCCATCAAGTTGGTTCAGGGGAGGAAGCCTTGGTCTTTTTCACTGCAGATTAGAGGTGCACACATCCATCCCAGTGTGAGTTTATTTCATTGACAACTCAGCAATTGCCTTGGGCAAGTGCCTTGCTGAGATCCTGAAGCAGTTGAGACGGGAAGGATGGAAATAGAGAGCTAGGAGCACCGTGGAACATAGAGGGACAACTATGAGTTCTTCCTTGCCTCCGGCAGCCCTGTTGATAATTTCCCCCTCTGTTTTGTCCTGAAAGCTGCGAACTGGAGGCAGACGCGGCTGCCTTGAATAGTCTGTCCCCCTGCCTGGGTCAGATCCGCCACCTGGGGCTGGAGTTTGACCCGTCCAAGGAAGGGAGCCGGAGGGCAGCCACGGAGCTCCTAACTGCCTTGGCCCAGCAGGGCCCCGGCCTGCAGGGGCTGCGTATTGTTTGCAGAGGCGAGAACCCGCTCTTCTACTCTGGCCAAGACATCCTGAACGGACTGCTCCAAGTGTGCACAGCGCGGCCGCTGGGTCCCTGCGCGCTCCAACAGCTGGATCTCCGAAGCATGCCTTTCACCCTGGACGACGGATTAGTGCTGCAGGTGGCGCGGAACTGCCCGGAGCTCCGAGGTCTTTTCCTCAACAACAGGACGCTGGTATGCAACGTGCGACCGGAGACGGTGCGCACCATCCTGGCTGCCTGCCCTCACCTGTGCGCGCTCGGTCTCTACTACGCCAGCCTGTCAACTCAGGTGCTGGCCACCCTGGCCGAGAAGGGCCGCCCGCCTTTCCAGCACCTGGCCGTGTTCTGCGCCCGGCTAGACAAGTACGCCGAGGACATACCCGACGACGCGTGGATCGCGGCCCGAAGGCGTCACCCGGGGCTCGCGGTGGATCTTGAGCTGGACCATACGGTGCCCGATGAGCGGGTCACCCTCGTCCTGCAGCCCACCATCCCCGTGACCACACTGAGGCTCAACACGTTCGGCGAGGTAGCTGAGGCAGTGCGCCTCGCAGGCCGCCACTACGCTACCACCCTGACAGCCCTGGTAGTGCGCGCCACAGCGTCGGCCGCCCTGAACTCAGCGCTGGAGGAGCTGGCCCGGGGCTGCGGCCACCTGCGCGAGGTGCACTGCTACTGTGTGGTGACACCCGCTGTAGTGAGCGCCTTCCTAACCCATTGCCCCTGCCTCCGCAGTTACACGCTCAAGGTCACTCGGGAGCCGCACCCTTGGCGGCCCAAAATTGTCAGGTGACAAGCTTGAACCCCAGGCTGAGAGGAACCGCGGAATCTGCACTGCGGCTTTCCTAACCCTACAGCTAATCTAGACAGAGTGTTGTGGTGGAAAGAGATCAAGTTCAAACCCACCTCTACCTCTTATGTGCAATGTAACCTAAGGCGCGTTCCTTCCTTACCCTAGGCCTCATTTTCCTTCTCTGAAAAGAAGGGGTTTGGATTAATTCATTTCTAAAATCCCCTCCAGTTCTAGATTCCAGGATCTGCGCTGAGAGGGAGACAGACATGCTAATCCCAACTTCGTGGATTTTAGGGCTCTTAGCTGCATGAACAAGAGGAAGGACATATCTGTTAAGTACTTGCTATGAGTGCCTATGGGGTTAGAACCACAAAAAGTCACATCCTGGGAGGTGGGTGGGTGGGGGGAGATTCAGAAACCACTTAGTTCGGCTCCCTCTTTTTATAGATGGGATCCAGAGAGAATATTGAAGTCACCCACGGCCACACGAATAGGTGCCGGAGAATTGGAGCCTCTGAGGTGGACACCATCTCAGGCAATATGGTTTTCTAAGACCTGGGCCCTAGAATCTCCCAGTAGCTAGGTTTCTCGACAGAATATGCTCTTCCCTAGTTCAGGAGCCCTCCCTTTCTACTGGATCCTGACAGGCAGTGAAATGTAGTGGTGAGAACACTGGAATGAATTACAATCACACAATTCCTCTACTCAAATCTACGCGTCCTTCTTCTGTGACCCAGATGTGGTGTACATACATGTGCACAAACACACCCACACACTTTCAGACACACAGGCAAGACTACACACCAACATCCTTAAAGTAAAAGCACCGCTTAGGAGTCAGGAGGACTAGCAACCTTGGGCAAGTCACCTTCCTCCCAGGTCTACAGTTTCTTCCTTCATTAAACAAGGAAGAGCTAGAACAATCTTTTCAGCTGTTACATTAATCAATGTCTTTGTATCCTGGGCCCTCCAAGAGTTCAATTTTCACAGGAGTAAGAGAACCAAGCTGAGACCAGAGGGAGGGCATATAGGCAGGTACCCAGGGTGCAGGGAAGGAGGAAGGGGGGGGGGATGCCTGTGGTTGAGTCACTTAAAATATTCCATACATATTCGTATTTTTAAGGCCAGAAAATTCTACTTTCCATGGCCCATAGGTATTTTAATGAGATCATACATAAAGGACTGTTACCCAGATGGGCAGTCTCACACACAGGAATTTCCAAACTTTCTCTATAGTCTTTAATTGACTCTGATTGAGAGTGATCCAGATCAAGGGCTATGGAAATATTGGTGGGGGGACTCTCTACATTAACATAGTCAAAAGGAGGGCATCAGTGAGGTCTTCCAAAGTGTTTTGCTTTCTGCTGGTCCCAGCTTCTGGAGGCTGGGATGCATAAGGCAGCACAGAGTAGTAGACAAAACACTGGACTTTAAGCAATAGGAGACTTGGGGTCCAGCCCTGTTGGGTAAGTCACTCCATCTCTTTGAGACTCGGTTTCCCCCACTCAGTAAAATACTTGTCCTACCTACCTCACTGGACTGTTTTAAAGAAAATGCATTGTAAATCTTAAGTTGATTATGGGAAAGTGAACTTTTGGAAAATCTCTGTGATTTGGTGGAGGCTTTCGATGGGGGAGTGCTTTATTTAAAAAAAAAAAAGTGGACAGAGGGCACAGATGGAGAGAGGATGTGGGTAAGGGTCCTTCCCAAACCTGAGGGGGAGCAGGATCTTCCTTGGTGTCCAAGAGAGGGAAAGGTGGGCAGGCCTTTGGATAAGGTCTGTTGTGGGAGAGGGGTAAGGGAAGGGTTGAGGCTGGCTCCCCCCAGGAAGAACTTGCACTGTTGGCACTTTCCCCAGGGGGAGAGAGCAGCAGTGCTCTCTCTCCACACACACACACACACACACACACACACACACACACACGGACCCTATCCCATGACCTGCTTTCCTCCCATTGCCTATAGCCATACTCCAAGGTACAGGTCCAAGTAGGGTTTGCCCCTCCTATTTACTGACTCCTTTCATCAGATATACTCTTCCTCCCTTTCTCCCCTTCTTTTTTTGCTCTGTTCATCCACCCTGCTACTAGAGTGTATTGAAAGAGAGCTGGGGAATAGTACCCTTGGGTAGAAAACAGTTGCCTTTGAAAATAGTAGGTTTCCTCGAGGGTATGGAGCCTTAGGGATCAGTCATCCCAAGAAGCCCTGAATTGTATGGGGGAAGGAGACGGGTCTTCTCTTAAACAGCAGAGTTGAGGACCCACACCCTGAGAAGCCTGGATATTGAAGCATGGGTTAGTCCACTCCCCACCCCTCCTCCAATTTTTTTAGCCCTAATTTTGAAGGGAAGGGTACAACACTTGCACCACTGCATCTTTTTTCTGCTCAGCTTTCATTCTTTTTACTGGTCTCCATTCATCTCCACACACCCAGAGCTGTGGGTCCTCCACTATTTATTCATCCTTGCAACTGATATGGCCCACCGTTTCTCCAATGAGGGGTTCAGACCAGAGGATGTCTAAGGTCCCTGGTAGTCCTACTGTTTACAAACCCATCTCCTATTATCATCCTTTAGAATTGCAAATATATAGTTGGTGTTAGAAAAACAAAAGACTTTGGGGCTCTGACACTTTTTTAGCTGTGTGTCCTTTGGGCAAGTCACTTCACTGCCTCAGTTTCCTCTTCTGTAAAATAAAGGAATTAGATTAGACCAGGAGTTCTTAGCCTTTGGTTCTTGAACTTGCATATTTTTAAAAAATATGTTTATTTATTTCAAGATAATTGATTTCCTTTCTAATTCTATGTATTCAATTTTATTTATTTAAAAACCTGATTCTGATTCCCAAAGGGGTCAAGGACACTAGTTATCCTATTTTACTGAGGAGGAAACTGAGGCACGGAGAGTTTGTGGGACTTGCCCGAGGTCATGTGGCCAATAAATGGCAGAACTCCAACTAGAAACCAGGGTCCTTGGCTCCCCGGTTCAGGGTGCTTTTCGCTACACACATTCCCAGCTTTGGTCCTCACTATTTCCCTTCCTCGCACACTCACTCCCGCTGGCACACTCCTTACTCTCCTTCCCCCACCCCCACCCCCTTCTCTCTGCCCACCCTCCAGCCTGCAGCCTCTGACCCCGTGTCCGGCACGTCTGTCAGTCCTCAGGCCGTGCCGGGCGCTGAGCGCGCCCCGCCACCCTCTCGGCAGTCCAGGCCCGGGCAGGGAGCACGTGGCCCCCCCGCCTGATCCGGTCTCGGGGCAGGGGCGGGGACGGGGGCTCTGGGAGGCCGCTCGCGGTGCGCAGCACTTTGCTGTCCCCAGGCCATTGTCCCCGGGGCGGGGCCGGGCTGAGCCACGCCGCCCCGAAGTGCTGAGCTGGGAAGAGCGCTGGGTGCTGATGCAGAGGACTGTCCCCCAAAGCGTGGAGGAGGCCGCCGGGGGCCCCGCCGTGGCCATGGACGGCTACCCCAGCCCTGTGCCTGCCTTCCTTACCAAACTGTGGACGCTGGTGGGGGACCCCGAGACGAACCATCTCATCTGCTGGAGCCCCGTGAGTGTGACACCCCGCCCCTCTGGGAATGTGTCCCAGGGTGTGTATCACCCTCTCGGCATGCCACTGTCACTGTGACCTCGGGCTCCCCCCCCCCCCTCTATCAATTCGATTCAACTAATATTTATTGAACTGACTCTGCCAGTATCTCCTTAATGACCCTCCCTGGCACCCCACAAGTGAGAGCATCCTACTGTTAAAAGATTTTGACAGTTTTAGTGCTGGACAAGACCCCAAGCTAGATATCTAATAGGACCCCGACATTTTACATATGAGAAGGAAACTGTAGAGAACCTCAGAAAAATCACCCTGTCAAAGCCCTTCCCCCAGTTCTGACCCCCTCCCCCTCTTCCATCAGTGCCGGCCTTCCCTCTACATCCTTATGACAAGGCTTGGGGCCCCAGGATGGTGGGGTCGGATTCCAGCTGTCCTCAGGCCACTTTTTTTTTTTTTTCAGCTTAGGGGTAGAGGCAATGAGAGGCAGTAGCAGAAATGGGGAGAATACTTAAAGATCAGATCTGTGGGATTTCAAACTGGAAGGGACTTTAAAGATCATTAATCCAACTTTGTCATTTTACAAATGAGGAAACTGAGGCCCAGAATAAGAAATGTCTTAGAGACAGCAAATTCTCAGCTGAGACTCAAATTCAGGTTTGTTTTCGGCCTGCATGTCAATGTCCTTTACAATAAGAGCCCCTGGTCAGAGATGTTCCTGAAAAGGAAGGAGAGAACCCCTTTTATGAGGGGAGGGTTAGGGTAGACATGGGGACAGCTGTGTTAGGATCCTCTGTGTATGATTGTATATGTCAGAGCTGGAAGGGTCCTTAGAGATCACCATTTAACAGATGAGAAAACTGATGCCCTGAGAAGGGAAATGGCTTCCCAAGGTAATTTAGCTAGTTAGTGGCAGATCCCACTGTTTTGACTCCTGATCCAGTGCTCTTGCCTCAGGTGTGGGCTTGGAATCAGAAAGACCTGAGTTCAAATCCTGCCTCAGACACTAACTAGTTATATGACCCTGTGCAAGTCACTTCACCTCTTTGCCTCAGTTTCCTCATCTGTAAAATGGGGATGATAATAATAGCACCTACCTCCCAGGATTGTTGTGAGGATTAAATGAGATTATAATTGTAAGGCAGCACAGTGACTGGCACATAGTAAGTGGTATGTAAATGTTAGTTGTTATTGTTATTATTATTATTATCATCATCATAACATTCATAGTTGTGTGTCTAAATTCATAGAGGTTTGAATCTATATATGTGAATGCTAGATGGCAAAGTGGATAGAGCACTGGGCTTGGAGTCGGGAAGACCTGAGTTCAGACTTAGCCTCAGATGCTTATTAGCTGCAGGACCATAGGCAAGTCCCTTAACTTCTCTCTGCCTGCCTCAGTTTCCTAATATGTAAACTGGGGATGAGAATAGCACCTACCTCCCAGGGTTGCTGTGAAGAGCAAATTAGATTATATTTGTAAAATGTGCTTAGCACAGTGCCTGGCACATAGTAGGAACAATCTAAGTGATGATTCCCTTCCTCTCCAAATTTCCCAGCAACTTAATTAAATCTTGTACACAGCCATCTACTAACTCTCACCTTTTTGAAAGGCAGTGTGGTGTAGTGGAGAAAGAATTGGATTGAGACTCAGAAGCCCCAGGTTGGCTCTGGGAATAGTGCTCTATCTGCTTTTCATTGGCTGTTTGAACTTGGGAAAGTCATGGGATCTCTGGATAGCAGGGAAGTCAGAAGTCAAGAGTCTAGGGGTTCTTCACCTTGTTGATGCCCTGGACCCTTTGGTGGCAGCCTAGGGACCCCTCCTCAGAATGTGTCTAATGCAAAAAATAAAATACAGAAGATTACAAAAGAAACTAATTACAGTGAAATGCAGTCAGCAAAATATAGTTTTAAAAAAACAAGTTCACAGATGCTAGGTTAAGAACTACTGATTTCATGTAACTTGCTCATTTTACAAAGAAGAAAACTGAGACCCAGAGGGGCATGTGAACTCCCCAAAGTCATGGCTGTCCAATGGCGCCTACCTCCTGATTCAGGACTAAATGGCAAAGTAAGGATTTGAACTCCAAACCTTGGGCTCCTTCCTCTATACCACAGCTACATCTTTTTTTTTTTTAATAGAAAATACAATTTTAAAGACATCCATCA